ATTATTAACAGTATTAACAGTAACAGAGTTGGAAGGTATCTTGGAGGTTATCTAGTCCAACCCCCTATACTAGGGATTCGAACCGCCAAACTGCCGACCTTTCTAACCGGCACTGCCAAAGCATGAGATAAGGACATAATCAGTGGTGAAATCCAATTTTTTTTTACTACCGGTTCTGTGGGCGTGGCTTGGTGGGCGTGGTGTGGTGTGGTGTGGCTTGGTGGGCGTGGCAGGGGAAGGATACTGCAAAATCCCCATTCCCTCCCCACTCCTGGGGGAAGGATATTGCAAAATCTCCATTCCCACCCCACTCTGGGGCCAACCAGAGGTGGCATTTGCCGGTTCTCCGAACTACTCAAAATTTCCGCTACCAGTTCTTCAGAACCTGTCAGAACCTGCTGGATTTCACCCCTGGACCTAATGGTAGTTAATGTTATTCTTTATAGGGTTGTGTTCATGGCTGCGAATGGTTAGTTTTTATTAAATTCTTGTTGGTTTTTACCTCTATAAACTACCGTAACTAGAGTCACTTCGGGCAATCATTGGCCTTATGAATTGTCCGCGTAGGCAGGTAGACAGACAGACAGACATTGGTCTGACTCCCAGATCTGCCTCCAATGATAACAGAGATCAGAAGAGACACGTGAGCTTTTGAGGGGGGCTATGTTTACACAAACACACACTGGCATAGTCTGCTTAAGTGTGTGTTTTACCCAAGGCACGATCGATTAGGTCACGTAGCCAACGAAACTATAAAGCTACAGCTGAGAAATCAGAATGGCCGAGTTTACACGCAGCACGCTAAACCACAAACAAGCCAGACCCCATTGTGGTTTAGCATGTTGGGCAAACCTTACCGATAGGCCAACAAGCAAGAGGTTGAGCAAACCTAACCGAGACTAGTAAGCAAGAGGTTGGGCAAACCTTACCAACAAGACTAGTAAGCCTAGGCAAGTTTTCCAAACCAATAACGAGAACTGCAAAGCTACATTTCATTGTTAGGATGACTGGCCCTGCCACCTGTGAAAACTGGAGTAATTAAGAATCCCATCATTTAGAAATCAGAAACTTTCTTCGCTGCGGGGACCATTGGCCACACCAGAACTCTCTAAACCCCCATTGTGTCTTCTTGAAAGCCACTTGATGGGTTGGAGAGAGAGAGAGGCTTGAAGCGAGAGGCTGGAGCTGACATGATGCCAGCCTTCTCTCCTAGCCCCCAGAAACCCTTCATTTTCGGAGATAAAAGAAGTCATTAGCGAGGCACAAAAGGGCATCACAATTATGTCAATGTGCCTCTCTTTTGAAATGAATAGAATAACCTTTTACATAATCCCATTAGCATTTTCAGGGGGGGAAATGGTGGCATTTTGAGCAGATAGTTAAAAAGAATGCTGCTTCTTGTCTTGGCAGAAAGGCCAAAAGTATTATCTGATTTACTATCTCAGAATTGATATTCAACAGCGTTGAGAGAGCCTGGGGTGAACAGGGAGTCCGCTCCAACCTACCAAGAGGTTGGGGTTTGGTTTTGTTATTTTGCAAAGCATCCCAGCTGCATTTTCTCAGCAAGGGAAAAGTTTGAGAAGACTTTGTATAAACTTAATGTAACTATTGCCATTAGTATACAATGATTGTTTGATTATGAGCCATCAAGTCATTTTCCGCTTGTTACAGATGTCTCCTGTTGTTTTCTTCTTCTTGGGCTACTGGGTCTTTTGATTTACTTAGATGTTTTGGAGCAGGGGTCTTCAACCTTGGCAACTTTACGACTTGTGGACTTCAACTCCCAGAATTCCTCAGCCAGTGCATGCATGCGCTGGCTGAGGAATTCTGGGAGTTGAAGTCCACAAGTCGTAAAGTTGCCAAGGTTGGAGACCCGTGTTTTGGAGGACTATAGTTGGTTTGTGTGTTACTTAGTTGGGTAATGAAATGTGTGGAAGCCAACAAGCTCAGAGAGCACCAAGGACGCCACAATTCAACCCTAAGCTACAATTATCCTCTTCTAATATAATTCTGCTTTGTTAGCATGTGGTTCTTCCCTTGCTATTTGTTTTGGATCGTTATCTCTGGGACTTGGGTTACATTTCTGGATCTTGGATCTGGATTTCTTATGAAACGTTTTGGGAATATCCTGTTCTGTTCCGTCTAATCCTTGGCATGCCTAATCTGGCTTGCTCAGGCAGTTCGTAGCATGGAGGCGGCCATTGACCTCATTCAAACACAGATCCCAAGGGATAAACATTTGACCCCACCCTGAAGAAGATTAAGATATCCATTTCTCCGCTTAGTACCCCACTCCCAAATGGATCCGGGGCCCCATCCCCAACCACTCTTGAGAGTCCACTCTTTGACATGATGTGCAAAGCCTAGCTTCCAGAAGCTGCACACTGGAGGTGTAGAAGAATGCTTACAGCAACACGAAGTGTGTAAAACCATTCACGCTCCCAATACTAGAACTACAGGTAGTCCTCGACTTACGACCACAATTGAGCCCAACATTTCTGTTCTTAAGTGAGACATTTGTTAAGTGAGTTTTGCCCCATTTTACGAACTTTCCTGCCACAGTTGTTAAGCGAAACACTGCAGTTGGTAAGTTAGGAACACGGTTGTTAAGTGGATCTGCCTTTCCCGTTGACTCTGCTTGACCTTTCGGACACAGCAATGGTCATAAGTATGAAGCAGCTGTCTGAATTTTGATCACATGACCATGGGGTTGGTACAAAAGTTGTAAGTGTGAAAAATGGTCATAAGTCACTTTTTTTCAGTGTCGTCGTAACTTTGAATGGTCACTAAATGAACTGTTGCAAATCGAAGACTCCCTGTAATAAAAGATAACATAAGCTTTCCAGCTCTGTTCTTTTCAATCAAAATAAATAGGCATTCTCAATATACATTCTAATAAGCTTCCAGGAGTCACTGCGAGTGAGCCATATAAAATTTCTTAAATAAATAAATAACATCCGTTTCCAAAAAAATCTTTCTACAAACTGTATTGTTCATAAGTGAATCAAGCCTTAGTATCTACAATAAACTTTCTGCACTGGACAGAGAGACAGAAAGAGAAAGAGAGGTGTATTATGACCAAAAAAAAAGATGTTTATTATGAGTTCTTGGTAATAATTGAAGATCTTACTAAAACAGAATCCCTCAAAAGAAATCACGAGAGCACTTAAGATTTTAATTGCAAGATGCTACCTGCGTAGCCTCCACCTGTCTGGAATTTTCAGGAGGCTTCTTGGCACAAATTGCAGCTGATAATTGAAATATTATCTACGATAGCTTATGCAAATAAATTGGGGAATTAGAACTACTCAGAATAATTTCGCCTCTGCTTTCCTTATAGACTGGCTCATATCAAACATCTCAAGCCAACTCACAATAATAAAATCCAATATAAAAATCCAGTAATGATGAAAGTAAACCATACCCCATCTCACAACCAGAGATAATTGAGCAGCTGGGGAGGCACCGGCTTCCAAAGATGACTAAGACAGACTCATGCCATGGTGGAGTCAGGAACTGGGGCCAAGGGTAGTGTGGTCCTCACATTTTTTAAAGTGCAACCGGGTTCAATGTGACACTCATCACCTTACAATGTTCCTGAGGTCAAACAAAGACTCAGTGACTGCTAGGACTGTTGGAAAGCTGGCATCGTTACTACCACCCATCTTCGCACGTTCTACAGTTTGTGTGGCTCTCCACCTTCTGGAGTGAACACCAAAGGTGCTGGGCTACAAAACCTAGCACTTCCCACAGCATCAGGGTCTTTGCTGGCAGCATATGGGTCTCTCGGGAGATTTTCCCAAGACCTTTTTGGTTATCCATTCAGGACCAAGTTGGGTTCAGGGAGGAGGAAAGGATGCCTTGAGCCCTGGATGGATCAGAACTTCAGCAGCCATGCTGGGTGCAGAGAAGGTGGACGAAGCTGCTCTGCAGGATACCCATGTTTTGCTGGGTTTATGGCCCGGGTCTATGCCATGCATGCCATGGCTTGACTACAAAAACATGCCATGCCTCTAATGCCAGGCCAGGCCCACAATAACATGCCATACCCACTATGCCATGCCAGTCAGGGCCATGCCATACCAGCAATAACATACCATACCATGCCATGCCAGTCATGGTCATGTCATACCAGCAACACCATACCATACCCGCCATGCCATACCAGTCAGGGCTATGCCATGCCAGTCAGGGCTATGCCATGTCAGTCAGGGCCATGCCATACCAGCAATAACATACCATACCATGCCATGCCAGTCATGGTCATGTCACGCCTGCAATAACATACCATACCAGCCATATCATGCCAGTCAGGGCCATGACACGCCCACAATAACATACTATATCATACCTGCCATACCAGTCAGCTACGTCATGCCAGTCAGAGCCATGCCATACCAGCAATAACATGCCATGCCATGACAGTCATAGTCATGTCATGCCTGCAATAACATACCATATCATACCATACCATACCAGGCATACCATACCAGTCAGGGCCATGACATGCCCACCACAACATACTATGTCATACCTGCCATGCCAGTCAGGGCCACGCCATACCGGCCCTATACCACACCACGCCATGCCCTCCTCCCAAGGCCGGACGGAGCCGAGGCTGCCAGACCCGGCGGCCTCCCTCCTTCCCCCCCGACCTCCTCCATCCTGAGGCAATCCCGGGGCCCCAAAACACCTCAGGGGGAGGCGGCCACCCCAACCCGGGCCGCCCTGGGGGGGAGGGGTCGCCGCGTGTGTGTGTGAGAGAGAGATCGATGGATCGATCGAGCGGGCGATCGAGTGATCGATCGATGGATCGATCGAGCTGCGGCCCGGCGCAGCGCCGTCCCTGAGGCGAGCGGCCCTGTCCTGGCCTGGGAGGCCCCGCCCCTCCCCCGCGCCCGCCCCTCCCGCGCCCGCCGCCGCCATGTTGAGGCGGTCGCTGCCCGGCGCTGCTGGGTGAGGCCTGCGCGGGCCCGGGCGGCGGCGGCGGCCCGCCGCGGCGGAGTCAGCCCGGTCGGTAAGTGCGGGGCGGGCGGCTCGGCCCGAGGGTCGGCAGCGGCGGCGGGACAGCCTTCCTGGGGCTCGGCGTGGCCTCTCTTCGGGGCCTTCCGCGGGACAAGCAACGGGGCCCGGCCGCTTTGGCAGCCCAGCCCGCGGCGGAGCGCTCGGCCTCGGGAGGCTGGCAACGGCGGTGGGGATGGGGGCGCCTGGCAGGAACCCCGGCCCTGCTTTTTGTGGCGGCTCCGGCCGACCCGCTGGGCCAGGCTGGCAGAGGCGGCCTCGCTCCCTCCCTCCCTCCCCTCCGTGTCTGCGGGGAAGCGGCGGCTGCGGTGCCAGGCTGGGTCGCCTCTGCCCCGGCTGTGTGTGTGTGTGGGGGGGGGGGTCTTTGTGGGGAGGCCTGTCCCTCCTTCCTGGGCACTATAAACCTCTGCAAACCCCCCCACCCCGCTCAATATATGGGACCCCCATGAGGAGCTTCGTCCTGCAGCCAGGCGGGCATTTGTGCCAGGCTGGTGCTGCAAGACCTGCGCCAACTTTGGTGGCAGCTGCCAGGCGGCTCACTTGATGCCCCTTTCTTCCTGCTACTGTCCTCATCCTCCTGACCATCCTCCTCATCGCAGAGCCTCTCCGTTCCTTAGCAGGAGGGGTGTCCCCAACCCACCTCCCCAACACGCACACACCCCACCAGTGCTGAAATGCATTTCTAAGCAGGACCCCCGTTTGCAAACCCCCCCCCCATGTACATGCATTGCAGCCCCAGCCCATCCCCCTCATCCCATGCTGAAATGCACTTCTAATCAGGAACCCCCATTTGCAAACCCCCTGTATGTGCGTACATTGCAGCCCCAGCCCATCCCCCTCATCCCATGCTGAAATGCATTTCTAACCAGGACCCCCGTTTGCAAATCCCCCCCTCCCATGCCCCAGCCCATCCCCCTCATCCCATGCTGAAATGCACTTCTAATCAGGAACCCCCATTTGCAACCCCCCCCTCCATGCCCCAGCCCATCCCCCTCATCCCATACAGAAATGCATTTCTAACCAGGAACCCCCATTTGCAACCCCCCCCTCCCATGCCCCAGCCCATCCCCCTCATCCCATACAGAAATGCATTTCTAACCAGGAACCCCCATTTGCAACCCCCCCCTCCCATGTCCCAGCCCATCCCCCTCATCCCATACAGAAATGCATTTCTAACCAGGAACCCCCATTTGCAACCCCCTCCCATGTCCCAGCCCATCCCCCTCATCCCATGCTGAAATGCATTTCTAACCGGGAACCCCCATTTGCAACCCCCCCCTCCCATGCCCCAGCCCATCCCCCTCATCCCATGCTGAAATGCATTTCTAACCAGGAACCCCCATTTGCAACCCCCCTCCCATGCCCCAGCCCATCCCCCTCATCCCATGCTGAAATGCATTTCTAACCAGGAACCCCCGTGTGTGCGTGCATCACAGCCTCTTCTCCTGCCATACACTTGTATCGCGCCACCTCGGTCAGCTGTGGCTCCGATGGGCATCGCTTTGCTTCCGCCTCCTTTAACGGCCTGCTATCTGCAGAAGATCAAGAACAGTTTGCAGACGGCATTGGCCCATTTGGCGCGCACCGAGGTGTACTGATGGTTACCCACACTGATCCGATGGCCTTTTTAGGCCACCCGACTCCCAGCGGGCTCTGGCAAGGCGGATTTGGCCAAGGAAAGCCATGCCCTCATCCAGACTTCCAGCTCTGTAGAGGGGAAACCCCAGGGGAGCTGTCCATATTCAGCTTGTTCTTGTCCCCCTGTTTTCTTTTTCGACCCAAGTCATCTTTTATTCAATGTTTCTCTCTTTCTGCTCATAGTAAATATGCTGGAATACTCCTTCCGATTTAGTGCATGGCGTTTTAGAGCTGCAGCCTCTAATGTTTATGTGGGCTTAGCAGAGGAACAAGAGACCACGATAATTGTGGAGTGGTTTTTTTTCCTGCCCCCATAAAGGGAACTTGTTATGTAATGGACTTCAGTTCGCAGGCTGCAAAGCTTTTCACATCAACTAGTAGAAAATAACGTGGAAGAGGCCAACCTCCCTCCCCTCCAACATCAACTGAAATCTTCTCAGAGTTCTTGTATTTCTGCAGAAAGATCAATTAGATCTGATGGAATATGAAATCTTGTAAACAGTGCTGGGTTTTCCTTTATTTGCCTTCCAGCGGTTGAAATGAACCACTGTTTTCTTAGCTCAATGCATTTGCACACAGCATAGGACTATTATTAATCTATGTTAGGTAGCTGCATTATATTATCCCAGTATGTGCGATATCAATCGTAGGTGAGGATGTACATGAGGCTAAGATGGTCTGCAATCTGAACTACAGTTTGGGAACTCATGAACTGATTGTACTGGTTAAGGTGCTGCCCTAGAAACCAGGAAACGGTGAATTCTAGTCCTGCCTTAGGCATAAAAAAATTGGCAGGATGACTTTGGGCCAGTACCTATTTCTCAACCCAACCTACCTCACAGGGTTGTTATTGTGGGGAAAATAGGAGGAGGAAGGAGTATTAGGTATGTTCACCTCCTTGAGTTACTTATTAATCCAACCCTCTGCTCAAGCAGAAAACCCTCAACCATTTCAGACAAATGGTTGTCCAATCTATTCTTAAAATCCTCCATTGTTGGAGCACCCACAGCTTCTGGAGGCAAGTTGTTCCACTGATTAATTCTTCTAAAAGTTCATTGTCCCTTGCTCCCAAGTAAGTAGATTAAAGCACAGGGGTTTATTATATTTATATCACTATTTTTCTGGGTAGTCGAAGGAAGTGCTTGTTGTGAGTTTCCAAACAGATCACCCCTTCATTGGTAGACCATCTCCAGATGTGTTCAACTTCAGCAAGGTGGCATTATCACAGTTTTCATGTGATTGTCACAGGAAGACAGACTCATGCAGCAGAAGGACCTTTGTCTAAAATACGCTGACCCTATTTACATATCACCGTAAGCGATGATTTATGGAACAAGCTATCATGATTTGGATTGTATATCATGGCAAGCAGTAAACCACAGTTCAGGAGCACAATGGTTGGCTCACACAGCATAGTGAAGCAAAACAGATCTGAATCCAGCAATAGGCAAAAAGTGTAAGGAAATATCTTTACTCTTGGCTGCTGGTGAATTCAGCTTTAAAAATAAACCCGAAACGCTTCTGAACAAGGAATGTTTCTCCTGTTTACGATTTTATCCTTGAACTGGTCCTTTTAGATTTGTGTTGATAAAATATTATCTACCACAAAGCAGTCCTTCACTAGGCAGCACTTTTTCATGTTTCCAGCCTCCTCCTGGATGAGATTTGTTGTATTTTTCGGCCCTTCTGTTGTTGAGGGGAAATTGGCAAATGGTGAGAAATGCTTGGGTTCACACAAATTGTGAGCTATAATGTGGTTTGTTTGTTTTTGGTGGTTTTAGGTTGATGTTGAAATTACCCCATTATGGATTAGTGCGTAATGTGCAGCCCATTATGGCCTGTTCATCAAATTGCACTTATAAAATCTTAAGCTTTATGCGAACACAATCAGAAAGTGAAGATGGCTAGTGTTTATTTAAAAAAAAACAACAACAACAACGCTGTGATGTTTCTGCATCATTTGCTATTCGCTGTTTTCCTTCCCTCTTACATTTGACAGTATCAAATCTCTGCTGCTGCTTCACCAGAAAATTCTCTATAAAAACAGACAATTTCACACGTGAAACTCTTAAGCCCGATGGAGATTTTTAAAACCAGCTTATCTGGCATGAATGCATCGATGAAGTTGTTCCATCCATTTCTTGTGGGGCTCAGTTGTGGGGGAAGGAATTGGTGTCTCCTCTTGCTGGGCCATAGGCGTTGGTTGTTTGTTTTGGGCAATCCATAAACTCTGTTCAATTTTGCACTGGATTTCATGAGTCTTATTTGATAGGTGGGAAACTATAGAGTCCCTACAGAGTGATAAGAAAACTCTCCTGGCAGAACAAATATCATCAGCCGCCCTGATTCTTCGGAGAAAGGCGGAATATAAATTGAACTAATAAATAAATATAATAAGAATGAGCTGGGATTCTTTGGTAGGGTGCTCGAAAGCCCCAGCTTCATCAGAAGCATCTCCAGGCAGGATAGGGAACCGTTAACCGTTTGAATATTCAGAAAACTACTCCTTCTGACTCGAGTTCCTGCATCACATTAAGCTGTGGTTTGTTTTAAACATCGTTCACTGAAGATAACAACCACTACATGTTAGTGAGTCTGTATGTGCAAAGTTGTGCACACACAACTCCAGAGGTTGAGGGTGCCCCATCACTGGAGGTTTGTAAGAAGAGGCTGTTTTGTCTAAAACGGTATAGAGCAGGGGTCTCCAACCTTGGCAACTTTTAAGACTTGTGGACTTCAACTCCATGGTTGAACTCTGGGAGTTGAAGTCCACAAGTCTTAAAGTTGCCAAGGTTGGAGACCCCTGGTATAGAGTCTCTTGCTTGATCAGGAGGTTGGACTAGAAGACCCCTCCCCCCCCCAAGATCCCTTCCAACTCTGTGATTCTGTATATCTGGGTTGACACAACATGCTGATCTAAAATCAAACAGACTGCATGGTAACTATGGCTTAGTGAAAGGGCGAGACTCCCTGAGTAGCCACCCTGAGACTTTTTAGACGGATTTATTTCCCCTCCTCAATTTCAGAATTTAGGAAACACGGGAGAATATACAGTTACAGGAGTGGGTTAGAGCCCAGCTGCAGATGTGCATATTCAGAAATACAGTTAATGACCATTGGGATCCATGAAATCAAAATTGGTTTAAGTTTTGGAGTGGACTTGGAATCCTTATTTATTTATTCGTATCCTGCCTTTGTTATTTTTGCAAATAACAAAGGTGTGGCAGACATATCCAATACACCAGAGGTCTTCAAACTTGGCAGCTTTAAGAGTTGTGGACTACAACTCCCAGAATTCTCCAGCCAGCATAGCTGGGAATTCTGGGAGTTGAAGTCCACAAGTCTTAAAGCTGCCAAGTTTGAGGACCCCTGCAATACACCTCCCTCCTCCGGTTTTCCCCAAAACAACAACCTTGAGAAGTGGATTGGGCTGAGAGAGAGAGAGGGACAGACCCAAAACTCATCCAGCTGGCTTTGTTCATTTGTTAAGATTCAGGTGATGTGTTTTTTTTTTTTTCCCCAACTACATCGACCAGAGTTTGGTGGGAAAGTGGAAGACGGGATGCTGACTCCCTCCTCAGCCTTTCTGATATTCGCATAAAAGCTGCATTACCTCTGATATTAATGACAAGATTAGCAATCGAGGGATTTTTTTTTTTTATTATTTTTTTTACAGTAAATGAAATGTGAGACGCAGAAAGACGGGAGCTTTAAATCGCTGGCACCCTGTCCTGCAGGATGCTCAGGTTTTAAGTCTTCCCTTCTCACCCATTAGGAGTGAGGGAAAAGGTCTTCCTTGGGCCTCCGGGGGATATCATCCCGCTGGGTTAGTGGTGATAATGAAAATTTCAAAACAAGAGAAAGTTTAAAGCTCTCTCTCTCTCCATTAGGCAGAATGCTGAGGGCTCATTTCCTCCCTCCCTCCCTCCCTCCCTTCCTGTTTTCTTTCTTTCTTTTTAATTTTTAGAATCCCAACTCGGTTGTTTAGTGATTGCCTGGCATGAAGTGAAACCTTAAGCGTGCCCTTCCAGCGCCTGGTGAGTTCGCAACAAGAAAATGGAAGACTTCCTTGTTCCTGTGCGCGGTCAGCGTTGACCGTTCCGGAAGGAAGGTCGCAGAGGCTGGATGGCTCTCCAAGACCTTTGTACTGTACCATCCAGGGCCGAAGATTTTTTTTTTTTAACTTGTTTTGTTTTGGTTTTTTCCCCCTGCGCATGCAACCCCGGGGAAGATCAAGCGTCCCCATTGTTTCGCAGCCCTCTGGCAGCCGAGAGGGAATTTGCTCTGATGCAGATTTTGGCAGGGCTTCCCTCGTGGCTTGCGCCCAACTGCCAAAAGTCAGTTGTGTACGCAACTCACACTTCGCTTTCTTCACTCCTTTGCTTTGGCCCAAACCAGCAACGAAAAAGTTGCGGACGTGTGGGTTAATGATAGGAAAGGAGGGAGGGGGGGTGTTTAAACTGGGAGATGTCTGTTGTAATGGAAAGAGAAAATTTCTGTCGCTCTTAGCAACAGAAATTTTGGATTCCATTGTGGTCGTAAGTCGAGAACTACTTGTACTTCCGTTCCCCTTTTCCGTTATGGAAGTGACTTTTGCTTCGCTCCCATTTTATGACTTTTCTTGACGCAGTTGTTGTGAATCTGGCTTCCCCATTGTCTTTGCTGGTCTGAAGGTCCCAAAAAGGGATCACGTGACCCCGGGACACTGCAACCGTCATAAATATGAATCCGTGGCCAAGCGTGTCTGAATTTCGCTCACATGACCGTAGGGATGCCGCAACGGTCGTCATTGTGAAAAACGGTCGTTAAGTCCCTTTTTTTTGAATGCCGTTGTAACTTCGAACGGTCACTAAACAAAGAGTTATAAGTCGAGGACCTCCTATATAATGCAGCAATCTACCCTTCTACGGGAAAATTTCCAGCGTCAGTCTCTGCTGCTCACATCTCCCAGCCATGTTTACGTCCTCATTGAAAAAGAGATGCTTCAGGAGCTTGCTTGGCAATGTGGAGAGAGGTCATCTTATGGTCCTTGTTTCCCATCCTTCTCAGATGCTTCTCCTGTGGGAATGGGCCAACTCACCACGGCCGACTCACTGCTGGATAAGTTGCCACGGCCAACACGCCATGGGACAGTTGTAGAATGGAATGGAATAGAATAGAATAGAATAGAATAGAATAGAATTTTTTATTGGCCAAGTAATAATTATTATTAATTATTAAATAATAATTAAATAATTAATTGGTTTAATAATAATTAAACCAATTTGGCTCATCAGTTAAGATCTTCAGCATAAAATTTAGACAATTTGAAAATTTATGCCAGCCCGGCTTGGTGAAACAGAAAGGTCTTAAGTGCACGACGGAAAGTACGGAGATCTGGGATCATTCATATCCCTGGGGGTATCTTGTTCCAAAGGGTAGGTGCCCCCACAGAGAAGGCTCTCCCCCTGGGAACCACCAGTCGATATTGCTTTAGTGATGGCACCCTGAGAAGGCCCACTCTGTGGGAGTGTACTAGTTGGTGGGAGGTTATCGGTTGCAGAAGGTGGTCTCGTATGGAGGGGCTGGGGCGCATGCATGGAGACGTATATCCATGTGTGGGGACGTGCGCACATACGGGGGGAAGCGCATGTGCAGGGTCGCTCGCATTGCATTTTGGGGGTCTGGGCACGCATACTTGCATTCGTGCGTGCAAGCGCACTTCGGGCACTTAGCACCAAAAAGGTTAACCATCACTGCGCTAATGCAACGCTGTCCTACCTTGGCAACTAAGACTTGTGTACTTCAACTCCCAGAATTTCACAGGTCTTAAAAGTCCACAGGTCTTGAAGTTGCCATGGTTGGACACCCTTCTTCTAATGTGTCCTCCTGGCTGGGGAATTGAAGCCCACCCGTCTTAAAAGCTGTTTAGCTTGAAAAAGACTGCCGAATAAAACAATTTTTTATTGTGGCGGAGTTCAAGTTTTAGTAGGCTGGAATCCGGTGCCTCTAATGAAGCAGATTTTAATGTACATGCTAAACCAACAACAAACAAATATATTATAGCCCTGCAGGATACGGGGGGGAGTAGTCAACAGTTGGTAGTTTATCATCTTCATTCTCCAGTTACAAGATAGAGGCAGTTAGTTTCCCTGAAAACAATTTGAAGTGTGGGAGCAATTCTCCTAAACCAGGATTCGATGCTAATAGCCCTACCAGCTGGCAGTTATAGGGATTGAAAGCCGGCGTATCTGGAAGGTATCAGGTAGGGAACATTTTTGCTAAAATACGAGAGCTGATAATGCAGCTCTTGACTCCCTAGAACGCGCATCTGTCCGGGTTGCTTTCAACCCCAAGACGCTATACCAAAGGTGCTTTGTCAAAGGGCAACCGGAGTTTGTTTTCCCTTGAAGACGTTTCGCTTCTCATCCAAGAAGCTTCTTCAGTTCTGGCTGAATAGTGGAGGATGGAAGGATTTATACTCCTTGCAGACAGCTGGTCATTTGCAGCCTTTTAGAGAGTCTTTGAGGCCACTTGGAGGTTTAATCTGTATCCTCAGTTGTCCCAGAGGTGCTTTTTCAAGAGGCAACTGGACTTTCTGGTTTTTCATTGAAGATGTTTCGCTTCTCATCCAAGCAGCTTCTTCAGTTCTGGCTGAATGGTGGAGAATGGAAGGATTTATATTCCTTGCAGCCATCTGGTTGTTAGCACCCTCTCAGAGAGTCATTCAAACTTTATCTGTGCCCTCAGGGTCACCTGAATAGTGCAAATGGGCGTGTGGAGCCTAAAATGCTATACAGGTAGTCCTTAACATACGACCACAATTGAGCCCCCAATTCCTGTTGCTAAGCAATAGTTGTCAAGTCAGTGAGTTAAATGAGTTTTGCCGCATTTTGCGAATTTGCTTGCCATAGTTATGAAACAAAACGCACTTAGTTAAGTTAGTAACATGGCGGTTAAGTGAACCTGGCTTCTCTGTTGACTTTGCTTGGCAGAAGATCCCAAAAGGGGATGACACAATCCCGGGACGCTGCAAACATTATAATTTATATATTTATATTTATTATAATTTATATATATTTTAATTGTTTTTTAATATTTGTATTTTATGTTTTTTAATTCTGGCTGTACACCGCCCTGAGTCCTCAGGGAGAAGGACAGTATATAAATTTAAAATAAATAAATAAATAAATAAATATGAGCCAGTTACCAAGGGGTCCAAATTTTGATCACACGACCACAAGGATGCTACAGTGGTTGTAAGTGTGAAAAACAGTCATAAGTCACTTTTTTTAAAGTGCCGTTGTAACTTCGAACTTAAGGAATGGTTGTAAGTCAAGGACTGCCTGTATTTGTAGGAAATGTACATTCCCAGTGTCACTTCTGACGGACTTTTTTTGATTTGTAGTTTTCATCATGGGGGACATGAAAACTCCCGACTTCGATGACCTGCTGGCTGCTTTCGACATTCCTGACCCAACCAGCCTTGACGCCAAGGAAGCCATCCAGACAGCCAGCGAGGAGAACGACAACCACCTTAAGCAGACGGGCATCGGCATAGACGAAAACGCCGCTTTGTCCCATGCCGCCCCTCCGGCTTCCGACGTTCCTGTCGTGAGCGTCATTGTGAAAAACACTTGTCGCCAGGAGTCATTCGAGGCAGAAAAGGATGGCAACCACCTCGCACCGGGCCTGTTGCACAACGGATTCCGCGGCTCGGATCTGCCACTGGAGACTCACGGCTATAGGAAATTCGATTCGACGTTTGTCAATGGGGACGGCTTGAGGAACTACCCGGAGAAGTTGGAACCAGCCAAATCGGAGCCTTTACCGACTTTTAGTCAGTTCAGTCCCATCTCCAGCCCGGAGCCGGACGACGTCCTCAAAGAAAACAGTATTGTGGACAAACCTAAACTTGCCCAAACTCCTTATTTCCCACCCCATCCCATGTATATCCCATCGGGATCGTCCGTGTTAGATTTGCTCAGTAGGACCCTGCCGGAGCCGGAATTCAGTAGGTTTATATCCACTGGCCCATCGCTGCTAGATCTCTTAAGTAAGAAACTGCCCGAACCAGAGCTGAGTATGTTTGATCAATATTGTAAAAGAGATCCAAAGATCGACATACACGGCCTTCAGGAGAACAGGGCCGATGTCGCCACCAAGAGAGAGCGTGACAAAAGCCCAGAGAAATGTGACGGGGCTGACAAAGATCTCACGGACACCCACGGTTCCTTTGGTGAAGGGCTTCCTCTTGGCAACTTCCATGGCAATAACCTGGGGGAAGGTAAAGGTTCTGTGCCCGAGATGACCTTCTCTTCCTCCGTCCCACCTCGCCAGCGTCTCAAGCCCACTCACTCCAAGCTGTCCTCTTGCGTCGCTGCCCTGGTAGCCCTCCAGGCCAAAAAGGTGGCGGGTATATCCAAGGAGGATCAGGTGAATGTGACCAGAGAGCCTCCCGCCTCCTTTAAGGATGGCATGAAGGGGAGCCCCAAAATGCCCAAATCGCCCAAGAGCCCCAGGAGCCCGCTGGAAATAGTGAGAAAGGTCAACAAGCAGCCCGACTCTCCTCGGAGCGTGTGTAGCGACAGCAGCGGCAAAGGTTCTCCTTCGGTGGCCACTGGCTCCCCTCCGGCCATTCCCAAAGTCCGGATCAAGACCATCAAAACCTCTTCGGGGGAAATTAAAAGGATGGTCACGAGAATCTTGCCCGAAGCAGACGACCTGGGCAAATCTCCTCACGATTCGCCTGCGGATGGCTCAATGGTCGAATCCTTCCCTTCTCCAGAAGCAGCCTCTTCCCTGGAAGCCGAGCCGGGCAAGGATTTTGCAAAAGCAACCACCCCGGAACCAAATTTAGCCAGCCCCCAAATCAACCCTTTGATTTCAGACATTCCCTTAAGCGACATCCCCAGTGCGTCGCACTTGGCCAACAGCGGGATGACGAAAGTAGGCCTTGTGGGACAGCCGTTGGGCAAAAAGCAGCAGCCGGGCACCGCAGCCCAGCTCTGCAACCCCGCCAGCCTCCTCCCCAAGGCTGTGCACCTGGCCAATCTCAACCTGGTGCCCCACAGCGTGGCCGCATCGGTGGCGGCCAGGTCCAACGTGCAGCGGCGGGGCCAGTCCCAACCGACCCAGGTGACCGTGCCGCTGATGCAGCAGGTCAAGAAGACCGCCCCCCTCGTGGTCGAGGCATTCAACAAAGTGTTGCACGGTGCCAACCCAGTGCCAATCTACACACCCAACCTCAGCCCTCCCCTCGAGAGCAGTATTCACGTTCCTGCTGCTGGCTATGGCTGCCTGGAATGTGGGGATTCGTTTGCCTTAGAAAAAAGCCTGACGCAACATTACAGCCGGAGGAGCGTGCATATCGAAGTCATGTGCACCCAGTGTTCGGCCACACTGCTGTTCTTCAACAAGTGCAGCTTGCTCAAACACGCCCGGGATCACAAGAGCAAAGGCTTCATCATGCAGTGTTCGCAACTCTTCATGAAACCCATTAACGTAGACCAAATGTTCTCACCGTCCCCCACCAGCTCGTCGGCCTCGTCGAGCCCGCCCACCGCACGGCTGTCCTCTCTGCCCCAGAAGCCCTGCGCGGCCCCAGGAAGTGGGGCGGGCAGCACGAGCGCTACCCAGCCGGCCCTGCCTCTGTACACAGACCCTTTGAGACTTATTCGTTATGGATTAAAGTGTTTTGAATGTAATAAACAGGCCTTGGACTATATCGCCCTAGCAGCACACTATCAGAGGACATCGGACGATAATGAGGGCCTGGTAAGTCACGTTCGGAGCTCCGAGTTAATTTCTCTCACCCACCCATCCTTTCGGTTTCTTATCACTGGGAAAGGACCACCAGCACATACAGGTAGTCCTCGATTTACCACTGCAACTGAGCCTGAAATTTCGGTTGCTGAGTGAGACATTTGTTTGCCTCATTTTACGATCTTTCTTGCCGCATTTGCTGGCAACAGCCGTTGGTGGCGCAGTGGGTAGAACGGAGTATTGCATTCGGCTGCTGACTGCGGACTGCCAGCCGTTCGGCAGTCCGAGCCTCACCGGATCGAGGTTGACTCAGACTTCCATCCTTCCGAGGTCAGTGAAATGAGGACCCAGATTGTTGGGGGCAAGAGGCTGGCGTTGTAAACTGCCCAGAGAGGTTATGGTAAAGCACTTATGAAATGGTATAGAAGTCTAAGTGCTGTTGCTAAGGAGGGAGGGAGGGAGGAAGGAAGAGTCAACCTTGAGCCAGTCAGAATCAAACTCCTGGCAGTGGGCAGAAATTAGTCTGTAATACTGCATTCTAACTACCGGGAAGGGAGGGAGGAAGGGAGGGAGGGAGGAAGGAAGGAAGGGAGGGAGGAAGGCTGAGTCAACCTTGAGCCAGTCAGAATCAAACTCCTGGCAGTGGGCAGAATTAGTCTGTAATACTGCATTCTAACTACCGGGAAGGGAGGGAGGAGGGAGGGAGGGAGGAAAGGAAGGAAGGGAGGGAGGAAAATGAAAGAAGGAAGGAAGGCTGAGTCAACCTTGAGCCAGTCAGACTCGAACTCTTGGCAGTGGGCAGAGTTAGTCTCTAATACTGCATTCTAACCACTGGGAAGGAAGGGTGGAAGGGAGGGAGGAAAAGGAAGGAAGGAAGGAAGGCTGAGTCAACCTTGAGCCAGTCAGACTCGAACTCTTGGCAGTGGGCAGAGTTAGTCTCTAATACTGCATTCTAACCACTGGGAAGGAAGGAAGGGTGGAAGGGAGGGAGAAAAGGAAGGAAGGAAGGAAGGAAAGCTGAGTCAACCTTGAGCCAGTCAGACTCGAACTCCTGGCAGTGGGCAGAATTAGTCTGTAATGCTCACCAGAAGGTCGCAAAAGATTATCACATGACTTCGGGACCCTGCAATTGTCATAAATTTGAACCCTTTGCTAACCATCCAAATTTTGATCACGTGACCATGGGGATGCTGTCATGGTCTTAAGTGTGAACAGGGATCATAAAGTCACCTTTTCCAGCACCATCGTAACTTTGGAACAGTCGCTAAACGAACTGTTGTAAGTCGAGGACTATCTACCTTAAGCCCGGAAGGGTAAAAAATAAAAATGTGCACTTTTACAAGAAAGGAGATGAATTTCCAGGTGTGATCTAGTGTACCTATTGTGGATGGATCTGAATTTGGCTTTAATGCTATTTAGCGCAGCTGTTCATGACGTGATTCCGTTTGTTCTAGAAAACAGCTGCCCTGCAGCCCCTCCTGTGCCGTTGGGTTTCGCGTGGAAGCCTTTCCGAGTTTTATTTCGTGTTTTTGTGCCGACCCTCCTCAATATATATTTGGGAGAGGGGGAGAAAAAAAGGGCGAACTCGTTTAGCGCAATCCATAGATAACGGAGTTAGCCAACAACGGAAAGCGTCCGGAGCGCCGATGCTCATGAAAAAAACAGGCAGCCTTCCTCGCTAAGGCCCCAAGAACTACAGCCGACATAAATCAGCAGCCCCTCCCACCCTCGAGTTGTCAGTTTGCAGGGTGGTTGTGAGTCGGCCCCTTTGCATTTGTTGCTTCCTTTTCAGCGAAACCTTCAGGTGACGGGTTCCGATGGTTTTGACCAATTTCCTGTTCGTGCTTGAGTGTGCACCTTGAAAGTTAACCTCTTGGTGGAAAGCGGGCTTCAATTAGCTGTGCAAATGTGTGGGGCTCGCGTGCAACTCCTTTCCCGCCCTGTTTCCCCCCCCCCCCCCGCCCCCCCCCCCCCCCCCCCCGTCTGCGTAGCAGTTCAATGTTATAATTGTGGCCTCGCTGAGGCTAATCAGCTTCAAGAACGCCGTCGTTTACAGGAAGAGCCAAGAGCCCGTATTGCGATTCTTCAGAAATTTGTACAAATGAGGTTAAAAACGACAGGGAGGCAAAACAGTAAGAGACCCCGTGACTCAGTGGCTTTCGATCGAAAGGTCGGCACTTCAGCGGTTCGAGTCCCTAGTGCTGCGTAACGGGGTGAGCTCCCGTGACTTGTCCCAGCTTCTGCCAACCTAACAGCTCGAAAGCAGGTAAAAAATGCAAGTAGAAAAATAGGGACCACCTTTGGTGGGAAGGTAACAGTATTCCGTGTGCCTTTGGCATTGAGTCATGTCGACCACGGAGACGTCTTCGGACAGCGCTGGCTCTTCGGCTTTGAAACGGAGATGAGCACCGCCCCCTAGAGTCGGGAACGACTAGCACATGTTTGCGAGGGGAACCTTTACCTTTACCAAGGCAAAATGAGCATTACAGCCAAATGGGTGTTGGCGAACAATCCAAATTCTGTATAGAATAAGTAGGGGAGATCACAAGGCTGAAGATTTCCGTTGCAGCTGTATAGGTAGTCCTCGGCTTACAACCATTTGTTTAGTGACTGTTCAAAGTTACGATGGCACTGAAAAAAAATGACATATGGTCGTTCCTTATAGTTACGGCCTTTCCAGCATTCCCCCACAGTCACGTGATCAAAATTCAGATGCTTGGCATCTTGGTTCACACTTATGACGGTCGCGGTGCCTTGGGGTCATGTGATCCCCCTTTTGCCACCTTCAGACAAGCAGAGTCAATGGGGAAGCCCAGATCCACTTAACAACCAGGTTCCTAACTTGTCGGCTGCAGCGGTTTCGCTTAACAACCGTGGGAAGAAAAGTCGTAAAATGAAGGCAAAACTTACTTAACAAACATCTCACTCAGCAACAGAAATTGGAGGCTCCGTTACTGTCGTAAGTCGGGGACTACCTGTAAGACACCGAGAAGGGAGCACTCCTAATGGAGTGAAGCTGCTTAAAACGTTTCCAGCCTATTCGGTTGAGACACCGGCGTATTGATTTAAATCGGTACGTTTGTCCGTGAATTTATTTTATTTTTTTTAAAAAAACAACATTTAAAGGGTCTTTCATAGATCTTCATTTAAATGGTTAAGAGAACAATTAGGAATAGACTGTTTGTTCCCCAGGCCTGACATTTATAGCAACTTTATGGGAAAATGCAGACGGCCGTGTTGGCATAGGACTACATGTGATATCCTGAGGAACGGCTGAACATCTGTCTTTTGTCTTCCTCCCTCCCTCCCTTGAAGCTCCTACATCTGGGAAGCTCCAGATCCTTAGAAGCTGCAGCCTTGAAGGCTGTTTCACTCCCACGTTTCGTTTCGTTTTGTTTTCCCTTTTCTCTTTTCCTCTGCTTCAGTCCAGAGGGCTTTTCATATCTCATCTGGTGAAGGATTGGGAGCTGGAGCATTCATCGGCGACCCTTCCAGTTGGCGCAAAGACAGATTTTAAACGCTGTTGCTTTTACACATAGTCCTCGACTTACAACCGTTCGTTCAGTGACCGTTTCAAAGTTACGACAGCACTGGGGAAAAAAATGACCTGGGACCATTGTTTCCACACTTATGACTGTTGCGGCATCCCCATGGTCACGTGACTTACATCCAGATGCTTGATACCGACTGACAATTATGACGGCTGCAGCGTCCCATGTTACGTGATCCCCTCTTGCGACCTGTTGGCAAGCAAAGCCGACGGGGAAAGCAGATTCGCTGAACAAACTGCAGCGATTCACTTAACAACCGTGGTAGGGGAGCTCGTAAAACAGGGCAAAACGCACTTAACAGATCTCTCCCTCGGCAACAGAAATTCGGGGTACAATTGCGGTCATAAGTCGAGGAATTCCTGTACTGCGATGGGCAGACAGCTGCCACTCGGTGGGACAGCGTGGGTTTGTCTGTGTATGGAGTAAGGGGACTTACGTCCTTTTGCATTTGGGCAAAAATACAGTGACCCCAGAACTTAGCTACTACCCCAGGACCATGCAGTGAAGAAGTCTTGTCAATCTGAAGGTCTCGGGCGGGAAGACAACTTGTGGTAGAAATGCTTATGAGCCTCCTTCGTACAATTTGGAAAGCTGTATTCATTCTGAAATTTAGAAAACGATGGGGTAGGAAGGAGAGAGGGTGCTGCGTGCAAATGCCCTTGATTTAATCCATGCTACACAACAGTGTAAAAAAGGACGTAAAATGTAAGAAGTTTTTACATTTTGCAGTTAAAGGACGTAAAAGGGACACGGTGGCTCAGTGGCTAAGACGCTGAGCTTGTCGATCGAAAGGTCGGCAGTTCAGCGGTTCGAATCCCTAGCGCTGCGTAACGGGGTGAGCTCCCGTGACTTGTCCCAGCTTCTGCCAACCTAGCAGTTCGAAAGCACGTAAAAAATGCAAGTAGAAAAATAGGGACCACTTTTGGTGGGAAGGTAACAGCGTTCCGTGGCGCCTTTGGCGTTGAGTCATGCCGGCCACATGACCACGGAGACGTCTTCAGACAGCGCTGGCTCTTCGGCTTTGAAACGGAGATGAGCACTGCCCCCTAGAGTCGGGAACGACTAGCACGTATGTGCGAGGGGAACCTTTACCTTTACACAACAGTGTATGTGTTGACTTTCTAATAGCAGCCGTCGGGGAGCTTGCAATAAAATCTACAATGAAAAAATAAATACAAAGATGACAAAATAACGCCATAAATTTGAACAATCTGCTCGAAGCATCGCAAAGGAAAAACAGCAGAGCTAGAGCAAAACAAGCCACACATTTCGAACTGGCTTTAAGGAATGTTTCTTGTGCGTTGGGCTGTATTTTTTGTTAGGTTTTAGCCAAGCCAGTTTTAGCCTGTTGCTATTTTGTCTAGGGAAATGTTCTACGCAACCTTTATTTGGGGAGGGTTTGATCCTACCTTTATCAGCCGGCTTTGGTGGGCAAAGGAGCTGAAACACGTCAATATTGCATCATAAGATTATTGCAGCAAAGTACAAGAAAGAATTAAGTGTTCTGGGATTTTTTTTAAAAAAAAAACCACCAGTGATATGGTAGCAAAAACAAAATAGAAAGCTAGATATGTTTTGGAGAGTATTGCAGAACTCGGGATGGGGGGGGTTATGTTGACTTTTCACTTCCCCCACCCAAAAAAAAATGTTATTAATGTTCCGCAGGTTAAATAGATATTACATAACTACACCCTTACTCCGAAGATTGTTTAGGCAGCCAGTCAATCGAAATACCAATTTACAACAATGTCAATGAAAGGGTAATTTCAGCAGATAATTCTCCGGCTGATTATTCTGCCCTTAAACTCCGGGCTGGCAGGATCACTTTGTATTTTGGCTATCATTGTCATGCGTTCCCCTTCCCCTGTCAAGGTTAACATTAAATACCTGATTAAACGGATAGGGTTTTTTTTTTTTTTTCTCATCCCAGACATACAGAGTGGTAGGGAAGAAGTGTGTGTGCTCTCGAGGGGCATAAATAGATATATAGGCAGCTTTGGCATTTGTATTCAGAGAAGGGAAAACTTCCCCTAATAAATTGGGAGTTCTCATCTACCTCTCTGAACCGGGCACGTTTTCATGCAGTTTGGGAACACAAAAAAAATGGCAGTCAGAAGTTTTATTTCCAAGTCTTATCTTGCAGCAGACTATTTAACAGGCAGGGTAGGATTTTTTGGTCAAACAAGGAAGTGGTTTTTCAAGCATCTCCCGGCAGGGTGAATAAAAATGGATGATTTTTTTTTAAAAAAAAAAATTGGATTTTTAAAAAAATTAAATGGGTTTTTAAAAATTTAAATCAGATTTTTTTTTCATTTAAATCAGATTTTTTTTATTTAAATCAAATTTATTTTAAATAAATGCTTTTGGAATAAAAATCTATCTCGGCTAGTTTTCTATTTAAGATACATTAATAATTTAGTTTATTCAGCATGAATTGGAGCTTAGTTACGTAGCATGAAGCTGTGTATTCTGCAGTGTTTACATTTTTTGGTAAACTCATTCAATGAATCCAAGCTCTGCAAGCTGAGATAACCTGCACTGCATCGATCCATTCACACCCAGCAGAGATGACAGTTGCTCTTTGAAAATTACGATTTGAATCGAGTGATTTAAATCAAATCCACCCTGTCTCCCGCCTTCATGTAGAAGTCGGAAGGTAACAACTCCGCCAGCCAGCAAGGGCCTGCTGGTGGATAGCTACCATTCTGATGATCTCTTGGTGATCTCTGAGCTTGCAGACCTTTCATTACCCACAGTCTAGCCCTGATGATGTTATCTAGTCCGGTAATGAAATGTTTGCAAGAAAACAACCAAGCTCAAAGGAGCAGCAAGGATCTCTCATTTCAACCCTGAACTAGAAATGCTCTCAACTCTTGGAGCTAGCATCCCATAGGGATAGCCGAATAAGACCTGGAGTCTCCCTCTAGGACAGTTCCCCAAATCTTGGCAACTTTAAGCTAGGTGGACTTCCACTCCCAGAATTCCCTCCCCCCCCCCAGCTGGCGGTGCAAATCAGTCAATCAAGGTTGCCTCTCTGTTTCCTCTCTCCTAGACATGCCAAGTGTGTCAGATGCTGCTGCCGAACAAATGCAGTTATTGTGCTCATCAAAGAATCCACACCCATAAATCTCCCTATTGCTGCCCTGAGTGCGGGGCCATTTGCCGGTCAGCCTACTTCCAAACCCACGTCAAAGAGAACTGCCTGCATTACTCCCGCAAAGTCGGTTAGAGGTGGGTGCTAAGTGGGGGGGGGGGGGAGGGGGGGGGGGGGGGGGGGGGGTGGGGAAGCAAGATGCTGTTTTATGCATTTAAAAAGAGAAAACAAGAGAGAAGGACCTCAGTTCTTCCTCTCTCCCCCCCTGGAGCTTTTAAGGACCCTTTGCAGAGACACATTCTAGAGCCGTGATGGCAAACCTATGGCACGGGGGCCAGAGGCATCGCCAGCTGCTCTTCTGCTCTTCGTGGGCACTGGAGCGCCAGAAAACGGCCAAAGAAACAGGCTGTTTCAGGGCCTTTTTTCAGGCCAAAAACAGCCCAAAAAACGGCCTGGAAATGGCCCCAAAAATGGACAAAAAACAGGCATGCTCACCGGCGAGCTGATGTTCAGGTTTCCCATGCTCTGGCACACGCACATGCCCGCGCATTCCAATTTGGGCACTCGGTGCCAAAAAGGTTTGCCATCACTGTTCTAGAGCAGGGGTGGGCAAATATGGCCCTTTTATGACCGGTGGACTTCAACTCCCAGAATTCCTGAACCAGCTTGGCTGTCTCAGGAATTCTGGGAATTGAAGTCCACAGGTCGTAAAAGGGCCACAGTTGCCCACCCCTGCTCTAGAGCCAAGATGCAAGAAAGTTGGCTTTAAAAAAAAAATTCTCCAAATGACTGAGCTTTTTGGGGCAGATTGCAGGAGCCTCGCTTAAGGATCCATTCCTATATTTTTTCAGTAGTGATACTGACTTATCTTCAATTTATCTATTTTTTTAGCTGACCACAACTAGAAGAAACTTCAGGGTAGTTCCGTCACAGGTGATTTTGCCAGCCGTAACACCTGTGAAAAGGGGCTTTTGCTTACATTTTTCATCAGCTGACTTTCTCAGAAACCCCCGATGTTGCAGCGAGCGAACCATGTCTCACAGTTACTCCTTTGTGGCAAATGAAAGTTCTTTTCTCCTGGTGCAGGAATGGCCAGCAGAGAAGAAGGAGCAAGGCTTAATTAACTCAGATTAATCTTTTCAGTCTGGCTGCTTTTCCGGCTTCAGAGAATTGATACGGTGGGGTGGATCTCATTGTTTCCTTCCCTCTTACTCCAACTGGCCATATCTCACCCTCTGATGTCGAGTCATCATCTGCAGAAAGCTATCTAGGTTGCTATCCTCCAACTGGTGAACATTCACGGATTCTTCACGGATGATCCAGTAAAGTAAATCTGGGCCTGTTCCCCATCTCCTGACTTATGTCTAGAAATGATACTGGCAGATGTTGTGCCTCCACCTGAGTGTCGTCCTCTCCTCCTCTCCAGGTGCAGCCACTGCGGTGTGGTTTTCATGTCCCAGGCTATGCTGAAAGTCCACATTCACGAGAAGCACTGCGAAGTCTTCCACAAGTGTTCGTTTTGCCCCATGGCCTTCAAGTCTGCAGACAGCACCACCGCACACATTAACAGCCAGCACCCTGCAGAGCCTCACAAGACATCTCAGTAAGTGGTCTGCCCCGGATCCGTGGGCTTGTTTTTTTTCCCATCATTCTACAGTTCTGGAGTTTCTTTGCCTCCTTCATCTGAGCCATGGTGGCGCAATGGTTAGAATGCGGTATTACAGATTAACTCTGCCCGCTGCCAGGAGTTTGATTCTGACTGGCTCAAGGTTGATTCAGCCTGCCTTCCTTCCTTCCTTCCTTCCTTCCTTCCTTCCTTCCTTCCTTCCTTCCTTCCTTCCCAGTGATTAGAATGCAGTATTACGGACTAACTCTGCCCACTGCCAGGAGTTCAATTCAGACTGGCTCAAGGTTGACTATGCCTTCCTTCTTTCCTCCCTCCCTCCCTCCAAGTGGTTAGAATGCAATATTACAAACTAATTCTGCCCACTACCAGGAGTTCGATTCAGACTGGCTCAAGGTTGACTCAGCCTTCCTTCCTTCCTTCCTTCCTTCCTTCCTTCCTTCCTTCCTTCCTTCCTTCCTTCCTTCCTTCCTTCCTTCCTTCCTTCCTTCCTTCCTCCCCAGTGGTTAGAATGCAGTATTACAGACTAATTCTGCCCACCACCAGGAGTTCAATTCTGACCGGCTCAAGGTTGACTCAGCCTTCCTTCCTTCCGAGGTTGGTCAAATGGGGACCCAGATTGTTGGGGTCAGTATGTAAACATCTGGGTACCCCAAATGTTTTGTGATTGGATCCAAAGTGCCTATGCCTATTGGCATTCGATTTAACATAAATTATGATTATTATGGTTTGTCTCACTGTCCACCAGATGTTTATACTAGGTTTGGCACCTATTGAGTCCAAGGACCTGGGACAGACAGATGTTGTTTGATGGTGTTAAAGGTATCCTCTCAGGGTATAAGGTGTTCTGAGTAAAGCTGCCTTTTGCAATTGACCGACAGTGAATTTGTCAATGCCAATGGTGACCAGAGGTTTTAGAATTGCACCGAGTGCGCCTATGAGTATTGGTGCTGTCTTTCCTTTCTTTTGCTACACAACCACATCTGCCTATCCCAGGAAGGACTCAGCAGATCAGGGTGGATAAAAATCAATGATTTTTTTTAAAAAAATAAAAAAAAAATGAGATTTTTAAAATTTAAATCGGATTTTTTTTATTTAAATCGGATTTTTTTTATTTTTATCGAATTTATTTTAATAAAAAACTTTTGGGGTAAAAATCTATCGTAAGATAGTTTTCTGTTTAAGATACATAAATAATTTAGTTTATTCAGCATGTAATGGAGCTTAGTTATGTAGCATGAGGCTGTATATTCTGCAACACTGGGACTATCGGTGAGTCAACAGTGGGTCAAAGGAGTAGCAGAGATGACAGTTGCTCTTTAAAAATTATGATTTAAATCGAGTTGATTTAAATCAAGCCTTTTTACTAGTGATTTAAATCATGATTTAAATTGTGATTTAAATCAACTCGATTTAAATCAAATCCACCCTGCAGCAGATAGATGAAAGTGGCAAATCCAGTCTAAACATTTTTTTTAAAAAAATTTACGATGATGATGATGATGATGATGATTTAAATGTATCGGTTGCCCAACTCCAGCGGACTCTCAAGTATTGGTCTGTTTGCTTTCCCTGATTCGTTCGTTCACGAAGGTTTCTCGTTTTTCCACATCCGACTATCCCAGGGTGATCTACAAATGTTCCTGCGAGACAGTCTTCAACAAGAAGAGACTTCTGCAAGAGCACTTCCAGCAAAACGCCAACCGGCTGATGGTGGGCGTATTTAAGTGCCCCCAGTGCCCACTGGTGTATATGCAGAAGCTGCAGTTAATGCAGCATGTCAAGGTACGGTAGTTCAGGCTCATCCCTTGGAAACTCTTGGGCTGCCTTTTAACTTCCCCACATCTGACTGCCATTTCCTCCTCGGCAGCCTCTCCTCCTATTTGCCTCTCTTAAGGTTTAGGTTGCTTAACTGTAATTTAAATGTCAACCACAATTGACTGGATTAAAGTTGCAGAGCACAGTGGTTGAGTTGGCACAGCCTGCTAGTCTAGACCAGATGCATTACAACTTAGTACAATCAGGACAGCGTCCTAAAATCACCTTACTTACCTACCTACCTACCTATTTACTTACTTACTTACTTACTTACTTACTTACTTACTTACTTACTTATTTATTAAGAGCCTTGGTGGCGCAGTGGTTAGAATGCAGTACTGCAGGCTACTTCTGCTGACTGCTGGCTGCCTGCAGTTTGGCAGTTCAAATCTCACCAGGCTCAAGGTTGACTCAGCCTTCCATCCTTCCAAGGTGGCTAAAATGAGGACCCAGATTGTTGGGGGCAAGAGGCTAACTCTGTAAACCGCTTAGAGAGGGCTGTAAAAGCACTGTGAAGCGGTATATAAGTCTAAGTGCTATTCCTTCCTTCCTTCCTTCCTTCCCTCCCTCCCTCCCTCCCTCCCTCCCTTCCTTCCTTCCTAGTGATTAAAATGCAGTATTGCAAGCTAACTGCCCACAGTCAGGAGTTCAAGCCTCACCGGGCCCAAGGTTGACTCAGCCTTCCATCCTTCCAAAGTGGGTAAAATGAGGGCCCAGATTGTTGGGGGGCAAGAGGCTGACTCTGTAAACCGCTTAGAGAGGGCTTTAAAGCCCTGTGAAACGGTATATAAGTCTAAATGCTATTGCTATTTATTTATTTAGCATCTCTGTGTCAGCAGCCTGCAATTTATAAACCTCACCTGATATAATGTCGTTGCCCTCAAAACGCCCTTCAGTTCTCTGCATTTGTGATGGATCTTGAACAGGGAGTTTTCAATTAGAGCTGGGTGTTACGATCATATGATGCATATATTGTGCCAACTGTCCTGATTCCCAGGCTGGTTCTGGACCCAGTTCAAAGTTCTGGATGACCTTTTAAATCAGAGGTCTCCAAACTTTAAGACTTGTGCGCTTCAACTTCCAGCCAGCAGAGTTGAAGGCCACCAGTCTTAAAAGTTATCAAGTTTGGAAGATTTCAGATTTAAAAGATCATCCAGAACTTTGAACCTGGGTTCAGAAATGGCCCGAAAATCAGGATACTTGGCACAATATATGCGTAATACGGTCATAACACCCAGCTCTAGTGTTCTGACCCAGCTCCCCAAACACGACAAACCCTCTGAAGTGAACTCAAAAGATTCCTGTATTAGGAGAACTGGCAGCCCCGGCAAAAAAAGTTTCTCTTTCACCGCAGGCTAACATATCTGTCCTGCAGGAGAGATGAATAGTTGTCTGCCACATCTATTCATCTCTGCCCCCTGCCTTTTATCCCCAGAGCTAGGGTGGGGCTTCGCTAGCAGCGGTGGCTCTTCCGTCCCAAGGACCGGCCCATAGATTTCCACTGCTCTCCTCTCCTCTGCCTTCTGTGCATCCGTACATCAGGCACTGGACCCAGCTGTTCTTCCTCTTCCTCATCAGCCACCTCCAGACCTGGGGGCTGTTGACTCTCCATCTGAAGGCTGATGGACAGCCCAGGCTCCGCCTCTGTCTCTCTCTCTCTCTGTCTCTGCCAGCTCCATTCCCTCTTCCCCCTCGGAGCTCTCAGGTTGCCTTGTCGCTGGCCCTGACTCCCACCCCTCCTCCTCCTCTCATTCGGCTGCTGGAGGGGCCAGCGGCTGGTCAAGATGATAGATCTAGAAATAGAGAGGCTACTGACATCCTCAACAATTCGTTGCTGGCTGGGTCGTTCCACGCTCCGGCCTTTCCGTGTGGATCTGCTTGCTAACTGAGCTCGATTCCTTGACTTTTGTACTAGAGCATGCACGGAGTCCCGGAAAATCCCGAGAATTTCACCAGCGCTCGGCAGAAGGTTGAGACGACCGCTACGAGCAGTCCCGTCCTTCCCACGTCCAAGGAACTGTCCATCGTCAACGGTACTTCTCAGCCGACCTCTTTGCCCACGAAAGGCGTAAGCCCGGAATCCAAGCCGAAGTCCAAAACGGGCAGTTGGACTTGCCGGGTGTGCTCGCAGTGGATCCCCGATCGTGAAACTTACGTGTCCCACATGAGGAAAAGCCACGGAAAGGTAAACCGGCCTTCCTGAAGCGTAGGAGCATTTGGACTTTCTCCCCGTCGTTTTAATACGGTTGCGTCTTCCTCACTTCGTAGCGATGCCGTGGAAACGGGAATGAGGAGAAGATGCCTGCTTCTTTCTTCCCCTTTCTTCTGGTTATTTTATGCTGTTATTTTATGTTATATTTATGTTATTTTAACAGAATACAGCATTAAGTGTCGTTTTTATTTCTTTCTTCCTCTTTCTCCTAGTTGTTTTATTTATTTCATATGGCATGAAAAAATACAGCATTAAGGGTCATTTTTATTTTCGGTACTTATGCTGAATGCCTTTGGAGATTCTCAAGTCCCCAAGTTGCTTTTTTTTTCTTTGAAAAAGGTTTCGCTTCTCATCCAAGAAGCTTCTTCAGCTCTGACTGGATGGTGGGGAATGGAAGGATTTCCTCAGGGTGACACAGACAAACCTCCAAGTGGCCTCAACGACTCTCTAAAAGGAATCAAATGACCAGCTATCTGCAAGGAATATAAATCCTTCCATTCTCCACCATCCAGTCAGAGCTGAAGAAGCTTCTGGGATGAGAAGCGAAATGTCTTCAAGGAAAAACAAGAAAGTATAAATCCTTCCATTCCCCACCATCCAGTCAGAACTGAAGAAGCTTCTTTCCCTCTGCATAAACAGAGGGATAGAATCAGGATCACGTGAAGTATTAATACCACTTTATATTGCCTTGGTAAGACGATTAGGGGACTGGAGGCTAAAACATAGAGAATGGTTGGTGGAATTGGGTCTGTCTAGTTTAATGAAAAGAAGGACTAGGGGTGACAGGATAGCAGTCTTCTAATATTTGAGGGGCTCCTACAAAGACGAGGGGGGTCAACCTATTCTCCAAAGCACCTGAGGGCAGGACAAGAAGCAATGGGTGGAAACTAATCAAAGAGAGAAGCAACTTAGAACTAAGGAGAAATTTCCTGACAGTTAAAATAATTCATCAGTGGAACGACTTGCCTCCAGAAGTTGTAAATGCTCCAACACTGGAAGTTTTAAAGAAGAGATTGGATAACCATTTGTCTGAAGTGGTGTAGAGTTTCCTGCCTGGGCAGGGGGTTGGACTAGAAGACCTCTAAGGCCCCTTCCAACTCTTGTCTTTCTATTTCTAAACTGACTCTTCCGATCCCCTTGCAGAACATGAAGAGGTTTCCCTGCCGGCAGTGCGAGAGGTCATTCGGTGCCTCCAACAGTCTGCACAGACACGTTCGCAATAATCACGACACAGCAAAGAAACTGTACCCTTGCTGGTGAGTCCGAGAGGGAAGAAACGGTCCTTGCACGCGTCACGGGGTCTTACCTGGTCCTGCCTGTTCGACTGAGGGATCACGTGCTATTTACCGTGGATCGTTTTCGTTTCCAGGAGATCCCGCGATGATATCACCGTGTGTTCCTAATAATGGAAGCATTCTAACTACCTCTGGAGGAACTACGATGCGTTCCGTGTGCGCTCGCCCTATTTCAATGAGAGCTGCAGCTCTTTCCGCTTAACTTAATGAGCCCTGGTGGCCCAGTGGTTAGAATGCAGTTGTCAGGTTCCAAGTAATGCATCCATAGCAAACAAAACTCTGAGGCAGGTAGATTCCTCAAATAATAGTTTTATTGGATATATCATATTGGCACAGTTCTGATGAAAACCGACTCTGAAGGTTCCCACAGTTTTCACCTAATTACAAGTAAAAGTTTTTCCCCTTCCCCAAACAGACAGTTACATGGTCCAATCAAGGTGTCATCCGGTTGCCTGGTAACATCACTCCTCCTGTCTCTGACCACTTGTGAGAATGTCCTTGGTTCCCAAGAGAAAGTATTTTGTTTTGGCTATAAACCAGCTCTCTCTATTCCCCCCTCCTTATCCCTCAGCTCCAGTATGGCAACACTAAAGCTTCAAAATGGCTTCGGTCAGGTCAGCTTCAGGGTTGACGGCAGTATTGCAGGCTAACTCTGCTCACTGCCAGCAGTTCGATCCTGACCAGCTCAAGGTTGGCTCCACCTTCCATCCTGCCAAGGTCGGTAAAATTGAGAGCTAGATTGTTGGGGGCAATGTGCTAACTTTGTAAACCACTTAGGGCTGTGAAGCTCTGTGAAGCGGTATATAAGTCTTAAGTGCTATTGCTATTAATTTCAGAACCGATTGCAAGTGAAACATTTGCAGTTTTAGAATTAAGCACTCACAGTTTCAAAAAAAAGAAAAGAAGAACACAAGGAATCTTTCCATTCAAATTAATCTCCAGGAAAGCAAATTTCCAGGAAGCAGGTGGCACTTCGATTAATGGTTTGTTTTTAATATTTAATTAAAACTATATATTTTTAGTACATCTTAATTACTCAACAGAAAACAGGGTGTTTTCTGGCAATTATTCCTATATACCACAAGTCGTTCTCTTTGCAGCAAAAAAGCTGCTTTCCATCACTGATCCCTTTTGTGGTTTTAGCATTCCCTTAATTTACCCTTTCAAACGAGAAATAAAGACTATCAGAAGCCAGTTTTAGAAAAACCTACCTTGGCTACAAAGGATTCCAGTTTAAGAAAGGCTGTTTCACATCAAACGCTCACTGCCCACAACTGTTTCTTTGTACTTCTGTACATTTCCTTTTCTAACTGCTAGAGGGATTTTCATTCATGTTAGTCAGTCTGGCTAATGGGGATTCTTTGTGGAGTTTAAATCCTATACCAAGACATCATTTAAACCTCCTTCACTGACAACTGACTAACCTAGAAAAACCGTGCCAAGTTATTTTCTGTGGAAGCTGTTTCAGGTTAGAGTTCGTCCCTGCTATTCTTCCTGTGGAAAAGCATTTTAAGGAGAAGAAAAAAGTTGTTATTTTAATTGAACTACAGATGGGGAATTCTAAACGTTGCTTTAACTGGTGCATGCGAACCGAGCATGTCTCAGTTCATATCTAATCTTGGGGTTTTAAAGGCCTCCTCTCAGGGGAGCCGCCTACATTCCTGCCACATGTTGTTAAGAAATGTAAAATCGTGGTTCCCACCGAGACCCCAGACGAAACATTAACCTTCCCATGGCAAACCTTTGATTTCCCTCTGGAAAAGAAGCCGTTCTTATCAGCTCTGAAGCTGCGATCCAAGGTCGCTTTTGATATCCCTGGAATTCAAGGCTAGCTTCCCAGCTACTAGCGGTAGAATCTTTGTTTCTCTACGTAGGTCTTTGAAAAAACAGATCTTGTTCCTGGGAGCTTTTGCTGTGAAATCACAACATTTGTGCTCAAAGACTTTCTCGCAAACGAAACTTAGCCCGCCAGTTCATCTGTCGAGAAAGTTACACGAATGTCCTTCGAGGACGTATTCAGAAGATTCAGAATAGATGGCAAAGTCACGGTCCACATATTGGCTTAGTCTTAAGATTTGTTTATTTGCAGTAAGCTTGTGTTACGTAAAATGCACGTTCCCTATCTAGGATTGAGACAAGGATGTCACATTCTAAAAAAAAAAAAAAACGATAACCCTGTCATCTTGCATTTCACACTGCTTTTCCAAAATTAAGAATTCTGGGAATTGAAGTCCACAAGTCTTAAAAGTTCCCAAGTTTGGAGACCCCTGTATTAAACAAACAAGTGAATTCCTCTCATTCACCTTCAGCAAAGTCTTTTCAAGGGAGAATTTACAGTCACAGACCTTATCTGGCTTGGAGAGCTGCCAGGTCGATATCTTCAAAACTTGGCCAGGAGTCTTGGAGAGTCACAAACCAATTAGGCGAACTTAATTGTCTCCTGCAAACTCGACTCCCCTTTCGCTCCTCTTTTATTCCCTCTGGGAGGGGCCATTCAACGTCCACCTGTGGCCTTACACCCAAGTCGACCCTTGTTCTTTAGCTGTTCCCTTCGTCTGGCAACTTTGCACATGCGCACACTGGGAACAGGCTCCAGCTGTTTGTCTGCCTCACTGATGTCCGACTCCGAAGGCAGCTGATAACTGGCATCCGTCCCTGGCCCCCACTCTGCCTCCGACGCAGAGCCCTCATCAGAGCCTTCCCCAGACTCCAGGACTGGCCCATCTTCCTCCCCAACCTCCTCACTGTCCGAATCTGCTGGCCGTTGCGGGCCACAACACTCCTATCTGGATCAGCATAACGGATTTAACGGTCCCCAGGTTCCTTCTAACTCTGGGCTTCTGTGAAAATTGGGGCGGGCGGGCTGCAGAGTGAAAATAAGAGATGGGGTAGCAGGGAGAGAGACGGAGCAATCCAGTTGTATTGATGGCACTTTTTGTTGTTGTTGTGTATTTTGCAGGTATTGCACAGACGAAATCCAGACATTTCCTCAGCCATCGATGCTGGAGAGTCACATGAGCCTCATGCATGGCATCAAAAATCCAGATCTTTCCCAGATATCCAAAGACTTGACAAAAGTAATCTGCAGTGCTTTAGTTAAGATATGGAGGCGGAGTAGATCACATTCTGTCTTTTGAGTTGCCCTCTCGTTTGGAAGCTGCCTTCCAAGAGACGCCCTCTGGTTCTCTTTCCAAGAGGACCACAGGCCTTTAAATAAAATATAGACTACTTTCCCTTGTGGGTGCTGAAGACAGTGCCAGCCCTATCAAAAGATATTTCTTGTACTGTAATGAAAATTTATCCGTTCCTGCAATCATTTGGGTGTAATTTAACTCTAGCCTTTAAAAAAAAATCCCTTGCTACATTCCAAGATATTTGGTTCCAGGCAGACCCAGAGTACTTAAAGACTATATTACATCTCACTGTCTGAAACCCCTTGTAGTTTAACACCACCAGCATAAAAGATGCAGCTTTATTTCAAGGGACCCGTGTTAGAGCTTTCTTTTAATTAAATGAAAATCCTAGAAAAACCTCCGAGATTAACAAGTGGTAACCAGTGATATGAAGAAATACAGCCTGGAAAAAAAATTAATCCTTAAGGCATTGTATTTGCATTTGATTCTGGTTATCTTCCTAGCAAAGCGCTGTGGGCAATTATTCAGTTAATTATATCTAAATTCCTTCCCACCCCAAATGGGAAGGTATGGGACAGGGTTGACCCTGGGGGGCCGGCGGGGTGGCGTGGCCCCCTTCACTTGTGTCTGAGGCCCCTGTGGTGGCCCAAGCGCTCTGGGGCTCTGTTTTCGCTGCAGGAGGCTGTCGCAGCCAAAAACGGAGCTTGGGAGCCCGTTTTCGCTGGCAGAGGCATGGCGGGCTAATCCTTCACTGTTTCCAGGCAGCCCCACGGGCCAGATATAAGCACCCATATGGGCCGGATCCAGGCCCCAGGCCTTGAGTTCGACACCCCTGACCAAGCCATAGAGAGCTTGGCGCGAGGAGGAGGAGGAAGAGATAAGGTTCTTATTGCTCTTAGCAGGCATCGTTTGGCTGGTGGCCTGATGGGTACGATAAGCATACGTGTGGCTTTGTTTTTCAGACAAAATCTCCAAAGAGAGTAACCGCCGATGGTCCGAGTCCGATGGAAGCAGCCGCATCCGGATCAGACGATCCACCAGCAAAGAAACTGAAGGCAACCCGCTGGAAATGTGCAAAGTGTGGCTTTGCGACGGCCACGGAGACTGAATTTCTGGAACACATACCTCGGCACAAGTCAGACAGTTCCACTTACCAGTGCCTGCTCTGCGGCTTGTGTTACACGTCGCACCTGTCTCTGAACAGGCACCTCTTTATCGTTCATAAAGTCAAAGATCCGGAAGAAGAAGAAGAAGAGGAGGAGGAGGAAGAGGAGGAGCAGGAAGAGGAGGAGGAGGAGGAAGAAGAGCCAGAACAAGAGAGTGCAAAAAAGATTCCGGAAATGGAAACGAGAGAGAATGGACTGGGTGAAGCCAACAGTGAGACCAGCCACAGCAGGGCAAAAGGAGATCCTTCCAAGAACAAAGACTCGGAGCGCGACCCCGCGCCCTGCAGCAAAGAGAAAAGCAGTTCTCAGAACAAACCCACAAAGTCTCCCTCTATTTAAGAGTCCGCTCAGCTGCCCCAGAAACCTTGCTTGAAGGAGGGAGGGAGGGAGGTTGTTCATTGGATGGGCATAAGGTTCAGTTCATTTTGATCGGGGAGGGAAATTAACAACACACCCAATTGCCACCATCTCCCTAGCACTAAAGAGAAGGGGAGGGAAGAGAGAGAAGGAGAGAAATTAGAACAGTCTTTCTCAATCTTGGATGCTTTTAAGAGGTGTGGGCTTCGGCTCCCAGAATTCCCCAGCCAAGCTTTGCTCAAAGTTGAAATCCACACCTCTTAAAGCGGCCAAGATTGAAAAAGACTGGCAGATAGGATAATCGTGGCAAGTTTTCCCCAGCAAAAAAAAAATGAAGCATTCACCTGCTGCCCAAGACTTTTTGCCTATTAGCTCAGATTTTTTAATTAAGAATACAGTCCTTTCTCCCACCCTCTTCAGCCCCCTCCCCTCCCCACTCCCTTAGCCCCAGGATGCCAGGAAGCTTCTGGCCATACCATCACTCGCTGATTTCTTTTCAAAGCAAAAATTCCACCCAGCCTGAAAAATTACCTTTCAGATACTCTGAATGAAACCTGCATCCTCCCCCCCCCCCCCGAAGACACATTTCCAGCACTATTCAGTAGCAGGTTTTCTTTTTTCATTTCTGAGAAAACATTATAAAGGGGGGGGGCTGCTAAATCTTTGCTGTAGGGGAAAATCAGTTGCATATCCACTTGAGGATTTGCTAAAAGTTGGAGGCACAGGTATTTTTTAAAAAAACCTGCCCAAGTAAAGATTGACATCTGTTGTAAGAAAGAATAAGAACAGGAAAAAAAAATTGTGAGGCTTGCATTTTTGGATCTTTGGGCAGTCTCTTCTCTTCCATGGTTAGCAACCCTCCTTCCTCAGATCTGGGGAGCAATGTTCATCGCTCCCCTGACTGTCAGTGATCAGAGCTGCTTCCAGTCCTGGTTGAAAAGTATTGAGGGCCAGGAGAGGGACAGATTGGCTTGCCTTATTTTCCTTCTAGTATGGTCCCAGAAGATTTTATATATATATATATATATATATCAGTTGGGTGGCTCAGGAATTCTGGGAGTTGAAGTCCACAGGTCCTAACGTCCCCGTAGTTGCTCACTGCTGCCCTTTAGAACGTCCTCTGCTTGTCGGTTCAGAAAACACAAGAATTTGGGGCTGATGAAGTTTATTCCATGAGGAAGGGGAGGGGAAATCGCAGTCTGATCCTTCCTCAAATACACCTGCTCTTCCAAAGCACACCTTTTCCCTCCTCACCCCTTTCCAGGTTTTTTTTTTTTAATCTCAGTTGCTCCCCCCCTCCCCACATTAATTGGAGATTGCTTTCCTCCCCTTTAACCTTGATTCATTTCCCCCCCATCTGTGGCTTCCGCCCCACTCCCGCCCCGCCCCATGTGCTTTTCCTCACGCTTCGTATAATATTTACTTTTTGTTTGTTTGTTTGTTTGTTTGTTTTAATATGGTTGTTATGTTTCAAGTCGGACACCCTGCTCATGGTTTACTATAAATAATTTAAAAAGGAAAAAAAAAAATATTTTACCCTATTTATCATATGGCCATTTGAATTTGCTCACTTTCTCGTCCGGACGTGTTTTGATAAAACCCTTTGTATTTTTTGATACCGTGTACATTTTAGTCTAGGGGAATGTTTTACAAGTTAGCCTAGCTATAGTTAACAAATAGCAGGGGGCAGGGAGGACATTCCTCCCAAGCCATCACATATCTATTTAATCTGCAGTGGCATCTGTGCCTTGCTATAATGTTTACTTCAAAGTATTTCAAATAAAACCATCTAATAATGGAGTGGCTTCCAACCTCCCTTCTCTGACCTTGCAGCTCTCTCCCAAATCCACAATGACCCTTCAGACCAGTGGTGGGTTGCTACCGGTTCGGTCCGGATCTTGCAAACTGGTAGTAACGGCAGCGGGAGGTTCCACCCACCTGCCCGGATGTCATCACGGATGTTCTGTGCATGCGCAGAAGCTTCTGTGCAGAAGCATCTCGAGTGCGCGCACACTCCCGTTGCGAACCGGTAGCAAAGGTAAGTTGAAACCATCCGTGTTTCAGACCCCATGCTGGACATTCATAACAGAGCCTCAAGTACCATAGTTAACTTGATCTCAGTGCTTAGACCAGGGGTGTCAAACTCAAGGCTCGCGGGCCGGATGCGGCCCACCGGGTGCTTAGATCTGGCCAGCAGGGCCGCCCTGGAAACAGCAAAGGACCGGCCTGCAGTGCCTCTACCAGCAAAAACAGCTTTGTTTTCGCTTGTAGAGGGTTGCGGGAGACCACCGCAGCTGAAAATTGAGCTCGGGAGCCTGTTTTCTTTGGCAGAGTACTTAGGCCACCACAGGTGACCCTGTTGTGGTCCGCCAGCAGCCTGCGGAGCTGGCATCGGAGTCGGACAGCGCTAAGGCTGAGGAAGAACATGGGCCAGTCCTGGAGTCTGGGGAAATCCCAGATGAGGGCTCTGCGTCGGAGGCAGAGATGGGGCCAGGGCCATCTGGGAGTGATGTGCAGACTTCGGAGCCTCCAGAGGCTGACAGCAGAGAGGCAGAGGAACAGGAGGAGCCTGTTCTTAGTGCATGCATGAGAAGAGCTGCCAGAAGGCAGGAGCAGTTAAAGCAGAGAGGACGACTCAGGAGGAAGGCCAAGAGATGACTGGCCCCTCCCATAAGGCTTAAAAGACCAGCAACGGCTCTTGGCCTCTTTGCCGGAAAACAACCGTTGAGAGATTTGCTTCGTGTTTGGCTGTAGTTTTTTCTTCTGTTCCTGAACTGTTGCCAAGAAAAGCCTTTGGCAGTTTGCCTAATTATCCCAAGGTCAGAGATAAACTGAAGACTGGTGTTTTGAGGGACTTTGCTTTCATTTAATTTGGAACACGCTGAGAATGAGTTAATTCTCAGCTGTTTTAATAAAATCTGTTTGTTTTTTGGAACTGTTTTGCATTTAATATCAACTACATGGACCTGGGTCACAACAGACCCTCACACAAGTGATGACGAACTGGCCACGCCCCACCCCCCCCGCCCCCAGCCACACACACAGAGACACCCAAGGTCAAACACAACCCTGATGCGGCCCTCAATAAAATAGAGTTTGACACCCCTGGCTTAGAGGCTGTAATGCAGAATACAGGTAGTTCTCGGTTTACAACCGTTCGTTTAGTGACCAAAGTTACAACAGCACTGAAAAAGGTGACTTACGACCTTTTCCCCCACACTTAACGATGTTGCGGCATTCCTCACGGTTAGTGAGCCACATTCAGGTGCTTGGCAACTGACTCATGACGATTGCCGTGTCCCCAGAGTCTTTTTGCTACCTCCTTGTACAAGCAAAGTCAATGCCAGATTCACTTAACAATCGTGTTCCTAACTTAACTGGTGATTCACTTAAGAACTGTGACAAAAAAGGATATAACGTGGGGCAAAACTCAACTCTCGCGCTTAGCCACAGGAATGTTGGGCTCACTTTTGGTCGTAAGTTGAGAACTTCCTGTGTAGCCTTTCACAAGAACACCACTGGAAGACGGATCTTCCCTGAAGTAGGTGCTTTCTGCACACTGCATTCATATGGCAGTCAACCACAAAGACAATAGAATAGAATAGAATTCTTTATTGGCCAAGTGTGAATGGACACACAAGGAATTTGTCTTGGTGCATTCACTCAGTGTACATAAAAGAAAAGACACATTCCTCAAGAATCACAAGGTACAACACTTCATGATAGTCATAGGGTACAAATAAGCAATCTAATCATACTAGGAAACAATATAAATTGTAAGGATGTAGAATTAGAATAGAATAGAATAGAATAGAATAGAATAGAATAGAATAGAATAGCTGGCTGGGGAATTCTGGGAATTGAAGTCCTCCAGGCTTAAAGTTGCCCAGGTTGGAGACCCCTGGTTCAATGGACAATTTTCGCCTTTCCCTTAAAAGACATTTGAAACTGGAGTCATTAAGAATTTTGCAGGGAAATTTTATTGCATTGCAACAAGGCACGCCAGGTTCGCCTGGAAATCTGCAAAATAATAATAATAACAACAATAACAATAACAATAATAATAATAATAATAATAATAATAATAATAATAATAATAATAATAATTCCCCTTTCATCTGAAATCCGATTTTCAGATTAAAGGAGAAAAAAAAAAAAAACCCGGGAGGACTTCGCATCAAGCTCTCCTTAGCAAAGAATGCCGCTCTTGCCCCCACCCCACCCCTGCTCACGCTCCACCCCTCGCGCAGAACCGGAAGTGACGTCGTCCCCCCTGCAGTCCTCAAAACACGGCTCAATTCGGGCCGGTCTAGGCGAGCCACGAGATCTCTATTCCAACACACACAGAGACGGAGACCAGCTTGGCCGGATATTGGTGTCGGCGGCCGGAAGCGGAAGCAGGGTGAGACGGTCGGGGTCTTCCCGGCTGCAGCCACACCACGAACGCCGGGATGCTGTCGCTGGACTTTCTGGACGATGTTCGGCGGATGAATAAGCGGCAGGTTCGCAAGGGAGGAGGAGGAGGAGGGGGCGGTGGTCGCGGAGGAAGGCTTTGCTCTCCGGTGGGGGGTAGTGTGGGGGGGGGGCTGCTGGACACCCCCCCTCTCCTCCACCCCCCCCCGCCCGTTGAGTTTGTAGCGCCGGTGCGCGCGGGGTGCACCACGCGTGACCAAGGGGGACTTCCCCCCCCCTCCTCTTTCTGCTGCAAGAACAGCCCAGGCTCCTTCCTTCCACAGGAGGGCTGGGACTACAGATCCCATCCTCCCCAGCAGGCGTGGCTGAGGAGCATTGGAAGGTCCCAGATCCAGTGCAAGATACTTGGGAGGACGCAAAGGGGTGGGGGGTGGGGGTTGCAAAGGAACCAATGGAGAGGGGGAGGGGCTGATATTCTGCCCTTTATTCTGTATTGTGTATCAGAATAACCAGAGTTGGAAGGGACCTGGGAGGTCTTCTAGACCAACCCTCTGCTCAGGCAGGAAAATCTACACCACTTGAGACAAATGGCTGTCCAACATCTTCTTGAAAACTTCCAGTGTTGGAGCATTCACAACTTCTGGTGGCAAGTTGTTCCACTGGTTAATTGATTTAGGATTAGAGAATAAGAGAGTTGGAAGGGGCCTTGGAGGTCTTCTAGTCCAACCCCCTGCTCAGGCAGGCAAACCCCTACATCACTTCAGACAAAGGGTTATCCAACATTTTCTTGAAAACCTCCAGTGTTGGAGCATTCGCAACTTCTGGTGGCAAGTCGTTCCACTGGTCAATTGTCCTCACTGTCAGGAAGTTTCTCCTTAATTTCAAGGTTGCTTCTCGCCTTCGTTCGTTTCTGTCCGTTGCTTCTTATCCGGCTGCCAGGGTCTTGCATTTTTGGGGTAAAATAACAACGGTTGAGTATGTTCCTCGCCTTGAGTTATAAATAAAAAGGAATAGTAATATGATTGATGTGTGAGTGCTATGACGGAGCTTGAATGGCACAGCAAAAAAGAGCAGGCAGGCAGAGGGCCGTGGATGGGAGGAAGGAGACGGATAACAGAAGCCAGGGGCTTGTCGCCTTCCCGATCCAAATCTTACCAAAAGGATTTTTCTTGAACCCCCATCTTCATTATGTGTGATTCAAGGCGGTGAACATACCTATTTAATGCTTGGGCCATCTTCTTTTCCTCACAACAACAATCCTGTGAGGTGGGTTGGACAGAGAGAGAGGGCTGGCCCAAAGTCACCCAGCCAGCTTTCATGCCTAAGGCAGGACTAGAACTCACCGTCTCCTGGTGATTGGCCCAAAGTCACCCAGCCAGCTTCCATGCCTAAGGCAGAACTAGAACTCCCAAGACTCCTGGTGATTGGCCCAAGGTCATCCATCCGGCTTTCATGCCTAAAGCAGAACTAGAACTCCCAAGACTCCTGGTATTGGCTCAAAGTCACCCAGCCAGCTTCCATGCCTAAGGCAGAACTAGAACTCCCAAGACTCCTGGTGATTGGCCCTAAGTCACCCAGCCAGCTTTCATGCCTAAAGTGGGACCATAACTCACCTGGTTTCTAGCTATACTTAAGAAATCAACTAAAAGACATGTCTGCTTGCAGTCCCGAGTGGGTACTATTGACCGTAACAAGACTTCTAAGCGGTGGCTTCTCCTTTGCAAAGGGGGGGGGCATTGCCTTTGAAGATACACCCAAAGAAAAGTGTTATGCATTGTGTGTGTGTGTGGGGGGGGGGGTCTTTGTGTTTTGCAAAGGACTGTCTTGAATCCCCATCATAATCCTTCCCCCCCCCCCCCCCCCCTTCCCAGCTGTACTACCAGGTTCTGAACTTTGGGATGATCGTTTCCTCAGCGCTGATGATCTGGAAGGGGTTGATGGTGGCAACGGGCAGCGAGAGTCCCATCGTCGTTGTCCTGAGGTAAAACATTTCTGGTAATCTCGGGCTCAACCCATTCTATTGTGTGAGATTAGGAAGGACCGGGTGGCCATCATAGCTTTTTGGAGGGGGTGGGGGGGCATGGCTTCTGCTAACATAGCGTAAACTTTGAACAATTGTGATCTTGACAAGAGGGCAAAGTTTAGGTTTTTACAGCCTGGTCTTGTGACTTGGTTTATGGGCCCTACTTGGAGTAACACGGCCATCCTTCTGTCAGAGAATCTGTTTTCAAATATAAATAGTCCTCGGCTTACGACCCCAATTGAGGCCAGAACTTCCATTACTAAGCAAGGCAGTTGTTAGCGAATTGCACCTGATTTTACGGCCTTTTTTTTTTTTCCACCAAGTAAACCCCTGGGATTATTAAGCGAATAATGCAGTCATTAAATTTCGGTGCTGCTGTAACTTTGGACAGTCATTAAACAAAAGATTGTAAGTCAAAAGGACTACCTGTATTCACTGAATAATCAATGCAAAGTTGATTGTTTCCCGTTTATTCTGAGCAAGAGTATCTGTAGGCAGCTGCCTTTGAAGCAGCTGCTAGTCTTGTAAGGGACAGTGATACAAATACATTCCAGATTATAGCCTCTAGAAACCTAATGTGCATTCAGCACAAAGCTCCATACTCCCCCCTACCTTTTTTTTTTTTACAGAAATGAAAAGGTAAGGTACTCCTTACCTTGCAACTGAGTTGACGTGACATCAGAGAGAAAATAGATGGGCAAGAATAGAAAAGAAAGCGTTTCTTTGCATGCTTGAAACAAGGAGGAGCTGTTATCGAGTACAAAATGAGCAAGCAAAACGCTTCCATCTGTCGGGGAAGGCAGCTGGTGGGGAAGGCAGAAAGATACAATCCCATGTGCAACCACTTGGCACCTACAGTACAGAGTGGGCTGCACGCCTTTGTGCCAGAAAACCAGAAGGCAGCCTTCTTGTCTAATTCCTCTAGTAAATGTACCCAGGGTGTAATTTTCTAGTGTTTCTTCCAACTCCTAAAGTCCACTTGCATGGTTTAGGACTGTGATGGTGAAACTATGGGAGGCATGCCAGAGGTTGCATGCATGCCAGAGGTGGCACGCAGAGGCCTCTGTGGGCATATGCGCTGTCGCCAGCTGTTCTTCTGGTTTCCGCTGCGCATCTTCACGGGCACTGGAGCGCCTGAAAAATGCCAAAAAACCAGGCGTGGAGTGTAAGATTTATATACCAAGAGTGTAATGCAATCACTTTTACGAAGGATTTGCTATTAGAATAGCAGTTACAGTATAAAGAAGAAAAGTGAAACACGTAGAAAAAAATGAGATATGCAAAAATTATCACCCTAGAAAAAACGAGATATACAAAAATGATCCCCATGTCAGTTGATACTTAGTTGGGTAACCTTTAGCATGAATTACAGCCTTATGAAATCTTCCCATGAAGTGAACCAAGTCTTTTCGTTCTGCAGCTGTTCTCATGGGAAACCAAGATTGATTGAATGATGGCTTCTACTAAATGGGTTTTATTGCTGGGTCGCTTCTGACTAACCAGTTTCTTTAGTTGGCTCCATAGATTTTCAATTGGGTTAAGGTCTGGGCTATTCCCAGGCCATTCCAGCAGTGGAATAGGATTATCTTGAAACTCCAAAAAAAAAAAAAAAAAAAGTGGTGTTATTAGCCATCAAACCTCAAAAATACACTTTTCCCAAAAGGTTTCCACAATTTTAGACACTACTGTATGTGTCTCTAATCCTTGAAAACTGAGAGAGCCAATACTCACCTGAAGGCAAAATGCAGAATTTGGGGTATTTTTTTTTAAATTAACCGATGTTTTTTTATCTTCCAGTGGCAGCATGGAGCCCGCCTTTCACAGAGGAGATCTCCTGTTCTTGACCAACCGCATTGAAGAGCCGATCAGAGTGGGGGAAATCGTGGTCTTTAGGATAGAAGGGAGGGAAATTCCAATCGTGCATCGGGTCCTGAAAATCCATGAAAAGTACGTCACGGGCTTTGGAATGTTGATAGTCGCGGGCGTCTCTTGTTATGTCCGTTTTCACTGTGTCCTTTCACAAGTGCTGTCCCTGTCCCAGTCTTTATGATGGCGTGGAGAATTGGAAACGGGTTTTATCCTCGTCCATTTCTTCTCTCTTGCTATTCATAATTCTGATCACCCTTTGTGCATGTTGGGGGAAACTTATATTTTACTTGAACCAGCAAACTATGGTTTAAATCAGTGTTTCTCAACCTTGGAAGCGCTGGCTGGGGGATTCTGGAAGTTGAAGTCCACCCATCTTCAAGCTACCAAGGTTGAGAAACACTGGTTTAAATGAACCTCTCCAGGCAAGATTTGTAAACAAAGCACCATTTGTGGAATCTTGTTAGGAGGGGCAGTACAAGCCAGAGTTTGCTACAAAGCGTGGTTCAGTTAAACAAGGATCCGTCCATCACACTTGGAGACTGAGAGCAGAAGATTAAGGAAGGTTTAACATCTGAATGCATATTAATATGGTTTGGAAATGATGTGGAAGAACTGACAGGAAGGGTGTTATTTGAGGAAGGGAGTGGGGTGCTAACTTTAGACTAGCTTTGCCAAATGTTTACAATCCTGGATTTTAGTGTGGGATCAGTTTCTGGGCCTAGGATCCTAAAATAGGCTTAACTTTGTGGAAGGAAAAAGAGGGGTAACCACAGGCATCCACACTCTCGCAACCCCCCTAACAATACTCAGAGGAAGAAACCAGTTTAAAAGCTTGAGCCTGCCCACTGGTGTAAGGTAACATATTCACTTGGCATCTTCGTTCCTCCTCACGATGTGTTTTGCATTCTGTTTTGTCTATTCGTTAATTGTGGTCTCTCCCCAACCCCCACCATGCCAGACAAAACGGCGACATCAAGTTTTTGACCAAAGGCGACAATAATGCAGTTGATGATCGAGGCTTGTACAAACAAGGACAACATTGGTTGGAGAAGAAAGATGTGGTTGGAAGAGCAAGAGGGTGAGTGAGGCACCAGCCAGCGGGCGGGCATTGTAAAAATGGGCATTCCTTCCTGGCATAACCTCTCTCTTGCAGAGTTCAGTCCTGTCCCCCGCAGTTGGTTATTATCTTCCTGTTTTCCCAAAGGTGTTTTTTCAAAAGGCCACTGGACTTTCTTGGGGAGGGGAGTAAGGAGTTCCTTAAAAAAACATTTCACTTCTCATCCAAGAAGCTTCTTCAGATCTGACTGAATGGTGGGAATGGACAGATTTACCATATTTTTCGGAGTATAAGACACAGCTTTTCTCCCCCAAAAAGTGGGTGAAAATCTGGGTGTGTCTTATACTCCGAATGTAGCCCTGCCCAGTCACTCAAACGGAGGTTTCAGAGGCTGAAAAAAGCCTCAGAAATGAAGCTTCAGAAAAAAAGCCTCCAAACGGAGTTTCAGAAAAAAAGCCTCCGAAACAGAGCTTCAGAAAAAAAAAGCTTTTTTTTCTGAAGCTCTGTTTCGGAGGCTTTCAGAGGCAGAAAAAAAAAAGTTTTTTCTAAAACTTTTCAGAAGTTTCAGAGGCAGAAAAAAAAGCAAGGCAAAGAGCTCAGAACCAAGGAACCTGTTGCTAAAATTCACCACTGGGAACAGCTGATTGGGGGTATTCCGGGAGGCGGATCCACCCGCCAATTAGCTTTTTTATTATTTTCCTCCCCAAAAACTAAGGTGCGTCTTATACTCTGAAAAATACGGTATATTCTTTGGGGTTATGTAGTCATGAGCACTCTGAAGATTGGGTTTCAAGGGGAAAAAAAACCAAGGATGTCTAATTGCCTTTTGAAAAGCATGGGATAACCATGCGAAGTCCAGGAGGCAACTGGACTTCGTTTTTTTCTTTTGAAGACGTTTCGCTTCTTGCCCAAGAAGCTTCTTCAGCTTCTTGGATGAGAAGCGAAACATCTTCAAAGGCAAAACAAGAAAAGTCAAGTTGCCTCCTGAAAAAGCATCTTTAGGACGACCATGATCTGGATGACTGAGAATCTCCATAGACTTTTATTATTTCAGCCAGTATAGTGTCTAAACTGGATGATTTTGTTTCTGTTTTAGGTTTGTGCCATACATTGGAATAGTAACCATCCTAATGAACGATTACCCTAAATTCAAGGTAAGACTTTGGGTTCGTTTGCTCTCTTGAAGCGACGCACTGTCGTCGGCAAAGCAAAACCACCATTCAGACAATGCATGGAAGCGGGCGGGTTCTCTTCTCATCAAACTCCTGCTGAAACGTCCCAAAACCACATTCAAGCAGGCAATGATGGTTTGATGCAAACAACTACTGTTTCTGGCTTTTCTAAGTCTTAGGAGATTGGTTTGAGACATAGATTGGGGTTTCAGAAATGCCAGAGAACAGGGACGATTCTCACCCTGGTCATCATTTCTTTACCCTCCTACCAGTGGTGGGTTCCTCCCGGTTCGACCTGGTTCAGCCGATCCGGTAGCGGTGACGATATGACATCACCGAACCAGTTCTCTTTGTTTGGGAGCTGGGTCCCCCCGCCCCTGCATTATTCTTACCTTTTATTTGGCGCCGCCCCCAATCTATTCGCTGCCTCCTGAGTCCCAGCTGATCGGCTAGAAGGAAAAAAAAACTTGCCGCGGAGCTTCAAAGGGCCGCCCTACAGCTGATCAGTGTTAAAAGGCAGTGTAGTGGTAGACCAGTACGCTCGAAAAACAAATGGGTAGACCGGTGCCTCCAAGAACAAATGGGTAGACCGGTACAGCTCTGCAAGCAGTTAAAAGCCTGGTAGACCAGTACCTCTACTAAATCCTAAAGAATTGTCACATGACCATCAAACCACACCCACAAAATAAGCCACGCCCACAGAACCAGTAGTAAAAAAATTTAGAACCCATCCCTGCCTCCTACCATCGGGAAGGAGATACAGAAGTATAGCCAGCCGCACAAACAGGCTGAAGAACAGTTTTTATCCGTGGGCTGAATGAGAAATAACATCATAACTACGTAGTATGATGGGACTGCAGGGCCGGGGCAACGTGTAACGTGTTTACACTGATGCAATAGGACTGGGTGTTTTGTTAATATGATTTATTGGGTTAGGGATTTTCTGTCTTCACTGTGAGTTGTATTGTGTTGGGGGGGGATGCACTGAGGGAGCTCAACCAATCCCATAGTACATATGTTGTGCACTGACAATAAAGACTTGAATTGAATTTTAAAAAAATAAACACTGAGCTTCAAGTAGAATAGATAAGGCACACCAAACCCCTGTAACTTTTTTTCTTTTTTAATGTTTAAACTCTTCAAGAAAGGATGCCTGTTTGAACCACCGGCCTCGCCTTGTTCCAAGCTTGCTTTCGCTATTCCCTGAGCCCATCCATCCGACAGATCCTCTTGGTTTCCTTTCCTTTCATCTTAGCATAACCATGCATTCAAGTTCGCAGAATTAGTTACACGTTAGCGGTGTGCTGACGTGAGCTTATTCTAGAAATCTTGATTGAAAGATGAAAAGGAAGCCGCCTGAAGGATGATGTGAACCCACCCCCAGAACTGGCAAACATATGCCTAAGATTGTGCCGTTTGGGGTGTTTTATGATTTTGCTTTCATGCCTAAATTGGGGATTGGAATCACTGTAAAATTCCTGCTTCGCATTTGAAACCATTTAATGAGCCGCGGTGGCGCAGTGGTTAGAGTGCAGTACTGCAGGCTACTTCTTCTGCTGACTGCCGGCTGCCAGCAATTTGGCAGATCGAATCTCACTAGGCTCAAGGTTGACTCAGCCTTCCATCCTTCCGAGGTGGGTAAAATGAGGACCCAGATTGTTGGGGGCCAAGAGGCTGACTCTGTAAACCACTTAGAGAGGGCTGTAAAAACACTGTGAAGCGGTATATAAGTCTAAGTGCTATTGCTAAGTGGGAAGGAAGGAAGGAAGGAGCGAGCATGATGGCTCACTGCTTAGAATGCAGTATTGCAGGCAAACTCTGCCCACAGCCAGCAGTTCGATCCTGACCGGCTCAAGGTTGACTCAGCCTTCCATCCTTCCGAGGTGGGTAAAAGGAGGACCCAGATTGTTGGGGGCCAGAGGCTGATTCTGTAAACAGCTTAGAGAGGGCTGTAAAGCCCTCTCTAAGGAGCCTGAGTGGCGTAGGAGGCTAATGCCTCCTAAGGCAGCATTTAACATCCAGCTGCCTGCAATTACTGTGAGTTCAAATCTCACCAGGCTCAAGGTCGACTCAGCCTTCCATCCTTTCTAAGGTGGGTAAATTTCTGACCCAGTTTGTGGGGGCAATAAGCTGACTTTGTATAAATATACAAAAGTATGAAGGCTATATTGCTTAACGCACTGTAAGCCGCCCTGAGTCTCCGGAGAAGGGCGGCATATAAATCAATTTTTTAAAAAAAAAAGCACTATGAAGCGGTATATAAATCTAAGTGCTAATGCTAGTGCTATAACGCTCCAAATATTTCTGTCTTACTCTTTTCTCCCCACCAGTATACGGTCCTTTTCCTCCTGGGCTTGTTCGTCCTCGTCCATCGAGAGTAACCCATCACCGGCGGAGGCGAAGACCACCCCCTCCGAGTAGGCTGGGATGTGAAGTGTGTCCATTTCGCTGCTTCTTAATCCGGATTTGGGCGTGGTTTTTTTGTTTTGTTTTGTTTTGTTTTTTTGTTTTCTACGACTGCTGTGTCCTGGGCAGGTTGATCTCAGTATTTTGAAAAAGTTTGTCACACTTTAGCATTTTTGTACCTCGGTGAATTTTTATATTAAAAAAAAGAAAAAAAATTAAGCCAAAACCTCTTTTTTTTTTTTTTGCTTTTTTCTGAGCTTACTGGTCCTTTTTTTTTTTTCAACTGACTCCGTTGAAAAGTGTGAAAATCTTGTTTCTAGTTAATAGCTGGAGATGCTCCCAGGGAAGAGCTGTCTCCTTCCAAATAAGAATTAAGTCATCCTAGGACCAGCGAATCACAACTATAAATCCCAGTTTTAGGCGTGTGGCACCTCTCTCTTCCAGGCTCTGTGAACATGCACATGTTCCAGTTTTGGCACAGAAGAGCAGCTGGCGACGGCACATGTGCCCACAGAGAAGGCTCTATGGGCGTGGCTTGGTGGTGGTGGGGTAATGTGACTGGGTGGGCATGGCCAACTTTTTTTTTTTTTTAAACTTTTAAAACCATTTTTTCTACAACCTCTTCGGCCAAAGAGGTTGTAAAAAAAAATGCTTTTAAAAGCCTCTGACGATCAGGCAACTCAGCTGGGATCGTCAGAGGCTTTTAAAAGCACTTTTTTTCTGCAACTTCTTCAGCCGAAGAGGTTGTAGAAAAAATGCTTTTAAAAGCCCTGACGATTCCAGCTGAGCCGCGCGATCATCAGAGGCTTTTTTTTTTTTACTTTTAAAAGCATTTTTTTGGCCAAAGGGGTTGTAGAAAAAATGCTTTTAAAAATTAAAAAAAAAAAAGCCTCTGATGATTGTGCGGCTCAGCTGGGCATGGGGGAGGGGAGGGCAGGGATTTTTGCTACCGGTTCTCCGAACCACCCGCCTCCATCGCTACCGGATCGGGCGATCCGGTCCGAACCGAGAGCATTTCACCCCTGCTCTGCGTGCTACCTCTGGCACGCAGGTTTGCCATCACGGTTCTAGATGGCAGGAAAGGCTCTTCTCCTGGAATTCTTAACCAATGGGGGGGCACAGCATGTCCCTTCTGCCATCGGGTATGGGGCAGAGAGTCCATCCCTTTGGGACGAGAGACGGTTCAGGATCCAAGCATCATCACTGTTCTCGCTGCATTTTAGCTCTGGTGATTGTGCAACCTCTGATATCCGTGTTTTGTTTTGTTTTTTCTTCTTCAACCACCTCCGCTTTTAGCAAAGTCGCGGTAAAACACAGCCCCGTGGGTGGCTTAATTTTATCCTATTGTGACTGCCATTGAGGAGGCTTTCAACACTTTTTCCTTCAATTGCTACTGACTCAAAAAAATGCCTTGCCAGCACAAGAGGCATAACTGGGTCAGACCAGGAAATTAGTGGTTAGTGGGACCCAGTTTTATTGACTCAGTCACCCAACCAGGGAATAATCTTATTTAGGATTTATTTATTTGTCGCATTTCTATGCCGCCCAACTCCCAAGGGACTCTGGGCGGCTTACAACAGAGAATAAAACAATATGAACAATATCCCACACAAAAGTTTAAAAGAAAACATTAAAACCCATACACTCCAATTCGTGGCCGGGTCTCGTAAGATCACTATAGCGAGATCAACGGCCCCAGGCCTGCTGGAAGAGCCAGGTCTTCACCGCTTTCCGGAAGGCCAATAGGGTGGGGATGGTCTGGATCTCAGGAGGTAACTGGTTCCAGAGAACTGGGGCAGCCACAGAGAAGGCCCTCCCCCGTGGGCCCGCCAGCTGACATTGTTTAGCTGACGGGACCCAGAGGAGACCGACTCTGTGGGTTCTTACCGGTCGTTGGGAGCTATGCGGTAGAAGGCGGTCTCGAAGATAGCCTGGCCCTGAGCCATGTAGGGCTTTAAAAGTAATAACCAACACCTTGAATTGCGCCTGGAGACCGATAGGGAGCTAGTGCAGCTCGCGGAGAATTGGTGTAATGTAGGTGTATCTAGGTGCACCCACGATAGCTCGTGCGGATGCATTCTGGACCAACTGTAGTCTCCAAACACTTTTCAAGGGTAGCCCCATGTAGAGCACGTTGCAATAATCCAACCAACAGGGATTGGTTGAATAAATATCCACCTGTAAGATACCTGCCCCTCCACCCTGCCCAATCCTTACAGCTGACCTGAAGACAAATCGAGGAATGTGCTACCTGGACCGCCTGGATTTTATTCTTCCAACACCCTAGTGGAGTCAGAAGAAGAAGAAGAAGAAGAATTTTATTTCTATACCGCCCTTCTCCCAAAGGACTCAGGGCAGTGTACAGCCTATTAAAAGCACAAAACAAACATCAATTAAAATCATTTAAAATTATTAAATAATTCGGCTCAATTTAAAACCCCAGAAATTTAACCCCAGAGTCAGCTGGTTAGAGGACGACATTTATTAATCGTGTCTTTCCCTCTTCTAAATTCCAGAGGTGCTGCCTTTCTTTTGTGTCTCTTTTTTTTTTTTCTTGGTTGGAATGCAAATGTTGCTAATCAACACCTTTGCGGTATTAAAAAATGGAAAAGCTGCTATCCTTTTTTATTGCAGAAGGCACAGCTAATTGCTGTGAAAAGAGGTGTTGCCCCTCAAAAACGGCTGAATGCTAATGGATCTTTTTTTTTAAAAAAAATGTTATTAAAAAACAACTTCCCCACCCCCCCAACATCTCTCCACACCCATTTCGCTTCTAAGATGTAGGATTTCAGAAAGACGAAAAGGAATATTTTCTGCCCACCGCAGGGAGTCTTCTGGGAGATGCAGGGGTGAGCTGCTGGGGTTTGGGAGAACCTCTAGCTAAGATTCTGTGCAGTTCGGAGAATCCCCAAATCCCGCTTCTGGTTGGCCCCGCCCACCCCTCCCAGGAGTTCCCACGCGGCCCATTTTGGATGCAGGTAAGTGCAGGGCATGCACAGAGGCGCGGGGAGGGTGCAAAACCCTGTTTCTGGCCTCCAGAGGGCCTCCGGAGCCTGGGGAGGCCATTTTTGCCCTCCCGGAGGCTCAAGGAAAGCCTCCAGAGCCCGGGGAGGGCAAAAATGCCCTCCCCCACCCTGCTAAGGTGCAGGAGGCTGGCTAGGCCACGCCCACCATGGCCAAGCCCACCCAACAACTGGCCAGAGAACCCCTTGCTAAAATTTTTGAAGCCCACCCCTGGGGAGATGTACAGGTGGTTTTGGACTTTGGACCACAATTGAGCCTAAAATTTATGTTATGTTAAGTGAGTTTTGCCCCATTATACAACCTTTCTCGCCACAGCTGTTAAGTGAAATCACCGCAGTTGATAAGTTAGGAGCCCGGTTGTTAAGTGAGCCTGGCTTCCCCCTTTGTCTTGCCTTGTCAAAAGGTCGCAAAAGCGGATCACATAATCCCAGGACACTGCGACGCCAGTTGCCAAGCATCTGAATTTTGATCCACATGATCATGGGGCTGCTACAAAGGTTGTAAGTGTGAAAAACGGTCATACTGTAAGTCATTTTTTTTTCAGTGCCATTGTAACTTTGAACGGTCACTAAATGAACTGTTATAAATCAAGGACTTGTACTTGCTTTTGCATCCTTCAGCCTCCCAAATGTTTAAATGGATGATATGCCACAATCCGGGACTGGAAATCTGGGTTTGCTTTAGCTGCCAAAACGGGGGTCCCTTCATTCCATTCCTTCCACCTCCTCTTTATAATCCTCGGAAGGGGGGGGTCTTGGCCCTCTTTGATGCTAGCTAAGCCACTTCTGATTTAAATCTCTCCAAAAACACCCCCACCCCCAAAAAAACCCTGCAGGAATTTAATCCTCTTCTGCACCCTGCAAGCCCTCGCACAGCCTAATCCCGAATTCGAACGGATCCGTGGCTTCCAGAACACAGTTTTAAAGAACGGATAATGCCCTCTTGCGTCATTTGATCTTTGTGCAATTTGGCAGCTTTTAAAATTCAGAGCGGAGTAGTGCGTTCTTTAAGACAATAAGTCTGCCCCAGGCATCGCCTCTGAATGAAGCCTAACATGCAGGGGGGAAATCCAGCAGGTTCTGACAGTTTCTGGAGAACCGGTAGCGGAAATTTTGAGCAGTTCGGAGAACCGGCAAATACCACCTCTGGCTGGCCCCAGAGGGGGGTGGGAATGGAGATTTTGCAATATCCTTCCCCCAGGAGTGGGGAGGCAATGGGGATTTTGCAGTATCCTTCCCCTGGAGTGGGGTGGGAATGGGGATTTTGCAGTATCCTTCCCCTGAAATGCCCACCAAGCCATGCCACGTCCACAGAACCAGTAGTAAAAAAAAAATTGGATTTCAACATTGCTAACATGGAATTTAATTGTCTGGAAAGAGCGCTCGTAGGAATAAGTGTACTGTAACTTTATCTAAAAGGGATGTGGTGGCTCAGTGGCTAAGATGCTGAGCTTGTCAATCGAAAGGTCGGCAGTTCAGCGGTTCGAATCCCTAGTGCCGCATCACGGGGTGAGCTCCCGTGACTTGTCCCAGCTTCTGCCAACCTAGCAGTTTGAAAGCACGTAAAAAGAAATGCAAGTAGAAAAATAGGGACCACCTTTGGTGGGAAGGTAAGAGCGTTACGTGCACATTCATTGTTGAGTCCTGCTGGCCACATGACCATGGAGACGTCTTCGGACAGTGCTGGCTCTTCGGCTTTGAAACGGAGATGAGCAGCGCCCCCTAGAGTCGGGAACGACCAGCACATATGTGCGAGGGGAACCTTTACCTTTACCTTTTAACTTTATCTGCTGCAATGGAAGAGGTTTCAGAAATGGGAAAGGAGGTGAGAAAGTATCTCCAGGATGTCAAGAGAGTGACGAAGAGGTTTCTGACCCGAAGAATCCATGATTTAGGAGGTTGTACAGTATTAATTGATAACGGTCAATTAATTGCAAAAACAAGCAACTTTTAAGGGGAATGTATTTATTACAACATAGAAAATGATAGGACCTGATGGGACCCTAGAGATCTTCTAGTCCCACCCCCTGCTCAAAGCAGGAGCTTTATACCACCCCAGTTAAATGCTAGTCCAGTCTATTTTTGAAAACCTCCAATAATGGAGCACCCTCCAAGATGATGGAGGAGTTTACTGATGGCCCCTAGCAAGAATTAAATCTCTCTTGACTTGAGCTCAGCTAGGTGGATCCATCAAGATTTTCTGCCCAGCTACAGTCTATAAAAGGAGAGATAGGACTAATTTTCCCTGGGCTAACATTTCCCCCACTTCAGCCCTGCTTCCAAGCATCAGCCTTCAAGGACCTGTCTGTTCTCAGGCATCCTGCGTAGACTCAGATCTTTTGAGGAGGGGTTCCCTGGGGGTTTTAGTTCCAGATGGTCATTTAGAGGGCCATTTCCACTCAAGGGACTAATTTGGAAAAGGTCTTGGCTATTTAGCCCTCTTATAGCTACTTAGTTGCTCTGTGTACACTCAGAGGCGCTCTGTTCCTTTGTTGATGCCAAGATTGAACCTCAACATTTAACAAGAGAGTCAAATTTGGGAGAGTGGTGATCAGGGATGAAATCTAATTTTTTTCCCCTACCGGTTCTGTGGGATGTGGCTTGATGGGCATGGCAGGGGAAGGATATTGCAAAATCTCCATTCCCACCACACTCCAGGGGAAGGATACCGCAAAATCTCCATTCCCACCCCACTGGGGCCAGTCAGAGATGGTATTTGCCGGTTCTCCGAACTACTCAACATTTCCGCTATCGGTTCTCCAGAACCTGTTAGAACCTGCTGGATTTCACCCCTGGTGGTGATCCAATATTGTTTAGACACTCCTTCCCTTCCTTTCTCTCTCCTTTCTTCCTCCCTTCCCTCCTTCTTCTCAGCCTTTCTCTCTCCTTCCTTCCTCTTTCCTTTCCCTCTTTCTTCCCTCCCTCCACCCCTTCCCTTCTTTTTTCTCTCCTCCCTCCCTTCTTCTCTTCCTTTCACCTTCCTTCCTACCTTCTTCCCTCCTTCTCTTCCTTTCTCCTTCCCTCCTTCCCTTCCCTTCCTTTCTCTCTCCTTCCTTTCTCCTTTCCTTCCCTTTTTCTCTCCTTCCCTTATTTCCTTCCCTTCCTTTCTCTCCCCTTCCTCCCTCCTTTTTCCCTTCCTTTCTCTCTTTTCTCCCTCCTTCCCTTCCTTTCCACTTTCTTCCTCCCTTCTTCCCTTCCTTTCTCCTTCCTCCCTCCCTCCTTCCTTCCTTCTCTTCCTTTCTCCTTCCCTTCCCTTTTTCTCTCCTTCCCTTATTTCCTTCCTTTCCTTCCTCTCCCCTTCCTCCCTTCCTCCCTCCTTCTTCCCTTCCTTTCCCTCTCCTTCCTTCCCTTCCTTTCTCCCTCTTTCCTCCCTCCCTCCCTCCCTCCCAGGCTCCTTGTGAAGCCCCACAGGTCCTTCCAGAGGGGTCTCACCCGTCTCCCTCCAAGACGTGGCGGGGGGCGACCAGTGCTGCGCTCCAGTCCCCGCCCCTGCTTGCCGGGCTACTTAAAAGCGGGGCCGTTATTCGAGGGAGGAGACGGCGAAGCCCCGAGACGGGCTGGGAAAAGCAGGGCAGAAAAGGCGCCCCCCGGTGGCAAGACGAGACCCGGCAGGGCGTCCCTCCTCCGTCGAGCCATGGCCAGAGGCGGACAAGCCAAGAGCCGCAGCCTGCGGGTGGGCGGCGTGGCTTTCCTGATCCTCTTCTCCGCCCTCGCCGTCTCGCCTTCGCCCGCCGAGAAGAGGAACGGGCCCATCCGGCTCAGGGAGAACCTCTGGGCCACAGGTAGGGCTCCCCGTCCATCAGCCCTGCTGGGCACCTTCCAAGAACAGCGCAGCTCCTTGCTTGATGCGAGGGGGTCTGGCAGCCCCAATAGCCCCCTGCCCTCCAACGCACTCTGAACACTTGTGGGTCCTTCAGCCCTGCGGGTTGGGGAGGTCAGGGGGGCTCTTGGACATCAGCCAGGTACCCCTAAATCTCGGAGAACATGCCCGGGGAAACCGGGGAGGACAAGAACTTGCTAGCGATCCTTTAGGATCCCCGCCTAAACTCGGAGGGAGCGGCAAAAAGACAGCTGAGCCCCCGTCGCAGCCTCCCTTGGGCTGGGTGCGTCTCACCGGTGTGGCCAAGATGCTTTTTTTCCCCCTTATATTTCAGGGCTTTGGCATCCTTTTTGCCTTTCTTAAGAGCGCCGGAAAAGCGGCGCTCCGTTTAATGCCCGCTTCGTTGCACCTTTGGGATGGGGACGGCGTGGTTCAAAAGCGCGGGGGAAATTCAGCACCCGAATGGCGGGACAGCTCCGCAAAGAAGCCTGAATCTTTGAGATAGGGAAAATTGATTGATTGTCTCTTTCTTTCTTTCTTTCTTTCTTTCTTTCTTTCTTTCTTTCTTTCTTTCTTTCTTTCTTTGTTTTTGTTTGTCAAGAACGTATTAGGTAATCTATATATGTATAAGCATGAATTGAATACGTAAAATAGGTACAAATAGAGGAAACATTAGGATTATTATTATTTATTTATTTATTGGTTCGATTTATATGCCGCCTTTCTCCGGAGATTTAGGGCGGCTTACAATGTGTTAAGCAATAGCCTTCATACTTTTGTATATACCTGCTTAGTAGGGCTTTCACACCCACCCCCCAAGTGATGTTCTTTTTTATACAAAGTCAGCTTATTGCCCTCACAATCCAGGTCCTCATTTTACCTACCTCGGAAGGACGGAAGGCTGAGTCAACCTTGAGCCTGGTGAGATTTGAACTCGCAGTAATTGCAGGCAGCTGGCAGCTAAGTCCTATTTAACAGCGCTTTAGTCCACTGCTCCACCAAGGCTCCTTGGTGGAGCCTAACTCAGGATTATTATTTGCGGCGGAGTAAGGGTTAGGCAGAGGAGCAGTTAAAATGTGGAATATCTTTGACTCCAGCCTGACCGATAGGACAGCTCCTCCCTTCACAGACCCCAGGAGGGTCCCCTGAATTTGCAAACCTGCTTCCTTAGGGTAGGAAAGCAGCACAAATTTTTCAGGAGAGACTGTGAGCGATGGAAGTGTGTGTCTCTGTTTCTTTTTAAAATGGACCCGCTAATAATTTTATTCCTGAATATGCAACCCCCTTTGAAATCAATGCCAATAGTGAGTGAATGGATGGGACACGGGTTTCTTCCTTAGTAGCTCCAAATTTAAAAGTGGTTGAATGCTAAAAGCAATACTTCAGTCCTTTAGTTAGGTAGTGAAATGCTGTTTCTTCAGATATCTGATCAATAACCACCTAAGCAGCAATCCTGTTTTGGTGGATGGCGGTAGAGAAACAAAGGATTAAAGAGAAGGAAAGAGCAAAGGAGGGAGGGAAGGAGGAGAAATTCTCTTTAACTTCAGAAGGAAAGAAAGGAGGAAGGAAGGAGGGAAGGAGGGAGGGAGGATAAATTCTCTTTAGCTTCGGAAGGGAGGGAGGAAAGAAGGAAGGAAGGAAGGAAGGAAGGAAGGAGGGAGGGAGGGAGAGGAGGAGAAGAAATTCTCTTTAGCTGTAGAACAACTATATTGGTTGACTCCAAAATGCCAACACAAATAAAAGGATGTTCAGCCTTTTGATTTATTTAATCTAAAATTCTCTCTGTGTGTGTGTGTGTGTCATTCCAGGGCATTTCATGGGGAAGAAGAGTCCCCTGAGCCCCATCCTTCTCCGCTCATCGTCCTTGGAAAGAGCAGAGCTCAATCATAGCCCCAGAGCCTTCGGTCCATCAGTCACAAGCATCATAGACAGTATGAAGGACCTATTGACCAGAGAACTTCTCGAAATCCTTTTGCAACAGAAGCTTCTGGAGGAGAACCAAGGCAAGCAGGATCCCGAAGAGCAGGTGAGATTCCTCCAGTTTCCTCTTGGAAGGAATGTGCAATTGCTAAGGTTCCACAGAGCTTGTCATGATGCCCACCTTTACTTTCTCTGCCTCCGTGCAGCTTCCTTCACTGCACATTTTTCTTAGAACTCCCCATCCCCACCTCCGGGCCCTTTCTCAGGGAGCTGATTGACTGCCATGCAAAATGCTGGAGGGCAGCTACCTCCAGTTAGGTCTTTATTTGTGTTTGGGGATTTTTTATGTCTGTTGGACCTGGTCTTTGGGTGTTAAGTGAATTTCGTTGTATGGGTATATTGTGTATATACGTACAATGACAATAAAGTTGTTGTTGTTGTTGATGATGATATTATTATTATCATCATCTTCATCATCATCATCATCATCATCATCATCATCATCATTAGTTATTGCTGCAACATGTAGGCTGGCCTCTTTCTCCTTCTCTTTCTCCCTCTCCTTCTTCTCCTCCTATTCCCTCTCCTCCTCCTTCTCCTCCTCCTCCTATTCCTTCTCCTCCTCCTCCTCCTCCTTCTTCTCCTTCTCCTCCTCCTCCTCCTTCCCCTTCTCCTCCTATTCCTTCTCCTCCTCCTCCTCCTCTCTCTCCTTCTCTTTCTCCTTCTCCTCCTACCCTTCCCACCCCTTCTCCTTCTCCTCTTTCTCCTTCCCCTCCCTCAACTCTTCCTAAGCAAAGAATTGCCCAGCTATGAGACCAATACAAATCTCTTAAGTGTATCTTTTGTTTTCCTTAAGCTTCATAATAGAGCTTGTTCCTAGTGGAACTGGCTGAAAAGGAACATGTGGGGAGCTTTGCAGGAATTTTGGAAGAGGTTGAAGGTTGCTTATTCCCCAAAATAGGGTGGAGTTTCTAGTCGCCAGGTCCCTGAATGAAATACTGAACGAGGTATTGGTTCTTTGGATAAGAACCACCCCTCCCCATTTTTTTCAGCCCACCATTTGACTCATTCTTTCTAAAGATGGGAGTTGACCCAAGAGCTTGGTGCAGAGCACAATATAACCCAAGTTCTCCTCTTCTATTTTAGTCCTAGATCACGTATCTTCATGCTCTTAAAATGGTAAATCACCGACTGCTTTATCTCACATTGGTCCACTACTATGGATTTCTTTCTTTGTTTACCGCTATCGTCCTACAGGATAAACAGTGGAGGCTGGATCTGGGTGTTGTATAAAACCCTCCTGAGATTTCTTTGACCTGAAGGGATCCTGATTTGCAGGGAGGCCACAAACAGCCAAGTGGGAAAACCCACTTCCGTTCCTCCGGCAGGATGGAGAGGGGCACCTCTTTGAGTCCACCAGAGGTGGTTAATATGCTACCTATTATGCTGCTAATTTGTCCTCTTCTATTCTCGTTTCCCATTGCAGGAAATGCCAACGTTAATGAAGTTGCTCTCGAAATATGTTTAATGGCAAAGAACCCAGGAAGACGTGATGGACTGTGGAAGAAAGCTAGAGGTGTTCCTGGAGACTTTTCTCAATCAAATGTAAAAAAAAAATAAAAAAATAAAAAAAAAATAAGGGTTCTGTGTGGAAAATACAGAAAAACACCTACTGATTCCATGTGCTATGGTTGCTGGGGAGGGGAAGGGAAGGGGGGAGAGAGAGAGACATTGTCCGTAAAGGCCCATCTTTACACATTTGAAGCCTAGTATGCAGGTACATCCTGTAATAAGAATCAACACTCCAGCATCACTTCAGATGATGCTCACTTGAGATGCTGAAGAACTCAAAAGATTGTCAAGCTGTACTTGTTAGCTTTTCCAAGCCTTGGGTATGAGGTCAAAGAAACGAGAGTTGTGATTTGCTGCAGCAGAACCTAAAAGAAGAGATGACTAAAAACCAGTCATCCTTATTCCTCTGTTAGCCGAGACTCCGGATTCTTTGCTCCTTTTTTGGTAAATGCAACCCACCTGGCTTGCAAGAGAAGTAAAGATGAAGCCAGATGAAGTCGTGCCACGGAGCTATGGTACAGCTTGATGATCTGGGGGGGGGGGAGGTTCAGGGGGGGGGGGGGGGGGGGCAACTTTGGAGACCCCGTTCAAACTCTCTGACCAAGAGGTAAGTCAAAGATAAGTCAGTAAAGATAGCAGCCTGCGGTCCCCAAATCCACAAGTCTTCAAAGACATGAATCGTTTCCAGAATTTTATTAATAAATAATATATCTACAGTACAATGCTGTTGGCAAAACACAACAAAAGCTACACCCAGGTCTGTGACGAAATTGCCTAAGGTACCTTATCTGCTTCCTAAGTGCTTCCTAGGGGAGCTGTGCTCAGCCCAGAAGAACACAAGATTAGCTACAACAGCCAGAGAGGTGTGTAGTTACCCCATAGGTAGCTTGAAAAGCCCACCTGACTGGGAGCCAGGACACTCTGCTTGGAGGCACCTAGAAAGACTTTTAACAGAATAAAACAGGGATCGTAATCAAGCATGATATTCCTCCAAAGGTACATGTTGCTAATGCTTCGCGATGAATATTTAACCCAGCCCTCAACTCCAAATCTTCTGTTTGTGGCTAGAATGCTTAGCTCCTAAGGAAGAGAAGGAGGATTCAGCTCCAACATGTACAGTATGTTGCCTCCACACTATCTGCTAAGCCAGATAAGGTAAAAGGTAAAGGTTCCCCTCGCATATATGTGCTAGTCATTCCAGACTCTAAGGGGCGGTGCTCATCTCCGTTTCAAAGCCGAAGAGCCAGCGCTGTCTGAAGACGTCTCCGTGATCATGTGGCCGGCATGACTCAATGCCAAAGGGGCATGGAACGCTGTTCCCTTCCCACCAAAGGTGGTCCCTATTTTTCTACTTGCATTTTTTACGTGCTTTCGAACTGCTAGGTTGGCAGAAGCTGGGACAAGTCACGGGAGCTCACCCCCTTACGCGGCACTAGGGATTCGAACCGCTGAACTGCCGACCTTTCCATCGACAAGCTCGGCATCTTAGCCACTGAGCCACCGCGTCCCTTGCTAAGCCAGATACTGAAGAGAAAAACCTAAAATGTAGGCTAAGGTAATCTGCAGATGTACAGGCATGATTGGGGGGTTTCTTTTCTACATCTATGGTGCCTTCCAATAACATGAAGCCGATTGACAAAGGCCTTTGGCTGGAGACCACTTTGTAAAGATGAAATAGCTTCCTTCCATTAAACATTTCTGCTCCCTCACTTTTTTTTTATTGCTTATTGATGTGTTGGTTGTGTATGCTCCAAAGCCTCTCAGAGTCAGCTAAGTCAAATAAAATAAATATTCAGTTGGGTCCATGGCACGAGAAAGGATCTCCATCCAACAGAACCAGCCTTGAGACCAAGCTACAGAAGCTCCCTGGTAAGTTTGGATCAGAGTTTTGTTGGGACAGGACAGCATCTTCCAGGGCTCCTGAGTGCCCCAAGCCAAGGGCAGGTTGCCCACTGTACATGGCATCCATATCTTCCTTCCCCTTTTGCTATCTGCCAAAGCATTTGCTTCTCTCTCTATCTAATGATACGAAAGGCCCTGAGTGGCAGCCAAGAGGAACCCTAGCAAACAGGGTGCCACCACCCCAATGGGGTCTACTGTGAGTACTCCCCTCCTGCTAACATTAGGACCATCTCTCTTCCTGGCACCACTCCTTTCCTGGGGTGGCTGGCATCGGCACCAGATCCTTCGAGAGAAGCGTTTCCTGAGTGTTCTTTGGACCCAAACAATGCATTCATGAGGTTGTCCTATCAAAAGCCTACGATGGCACCAAGTGGCCACGTTTGACGTCAGTTCGCAAGAGGGCCTCATTACTTCTCAGCGGCTTGGCCAGGACATCGCGACTTCCATGTCCTTCTTGAAAGAGCCCTTTCAAGCAAGTCCCAGGGTCAAGTCTGGCTTTAGCTGTTCTTGAAGGTCAGTTTGAAATCGGGCTGAGAAGAAAGCGTCTGGGTCTGGTGGAAGTAGGGGTTGACGTACACCTCGCCCAGGATGCCTTCATCATCCTCTTCATCCTCAGCCAGGTCAAAGAACGCTTTCAGAAGGTTGGGCTGGATAAAGTGCAGGGCAATCACCACAAAGCCAACAAGGAAGCAGAAGAGGCCTAGAAGAGAGGGAGACCGGCAGCGTGAAACAGGGGCAGCCCCCAAAACATCACTCCAATACATGGGCTGTGCCAACATATGATACAGTCCAGGGAAAAAGGTTAACTAGTGTATAACTAGAACTGCAGAAAAAACAATGGCTACCAACCTGCCTTCCATTGAGGACCTGTATACTGCACGAGTCAAAAAGAGGGCTGTGAAAATATTTACAGACCCCTCACATCCTGGACATCAACTGTTTCAACTCCTGCCCTCAAAACGACGCTATAGAGCACTGTACACCAGAACAACTAGACACAAGGACAGTTTTTTCCTGAATGCCATCACTCTGCTAAACAAATAATTCCCACAACATTGTCAAACTATTCACTAAGTCTGCATTACTATTAACCTTCTCATCATTCTCATCACCCATCTCCTCTCACTTATGACTGTATGACTGTTGCTGTATCCTTACAATTTATACTGTTTTCCTAGTATGATTTGATTGCTTATTTGTTCCCTACAACCATCATTAAGTGTTGTACCTTATGATTCTTGCCGAATGTATCTTTTCTTTTTATGTACACTAAGAGCATATGCACCAAAGACAAATTCCTTGTGTGTCCAATCACACTTGGCCAATAAAGAATTCTATTCTATTCTGTTCTGTTCTGTTCTGTTCCATTCCATTCCATTCCATTCTATTTGCACCACTTGCTGACTATGGTTAAATTAAACCTTGCTAAAGAGTTATGAGGCTGGCTTGCTTTGGGGTTTAGTGAGTTGTGTGCACCCAGCCTTGTTGTGATGCACACCATCATGGCTGGCCTTTTGATATTCTTCCCCACAACCTGTAGAGACACCCCTGCAGAGGTGATATTCAGCTGGTTCTGATCGGTTTTGGCGAACTGGTAGCGGAAATGTTGAGTAGTTCAGAGAACCGGCAAATACCACCTCTGGCTGGCCACACCCCCAATCTATTGGCTGCCTCCTGAGTCCTAGCTGATCAAGTCCCAGCTGATCAACTGGGTCTTCTTTTGTTGCCTTGCACAGGACAACGGAGCTGGAAAGCAGGTTAGTGGTGTAGGGAGGGAATGGGGATTTTATAGTATCCTTCCCCTGGAGTGGGGTGGAAATGGAGATTTTACAGCATCCTTCCCTTGTCACGCCCACCAAGCCATGCCCACCAAGCCACACCATGCCCACCAAGCCACGCCCACAGTAGTAAAAAAATTTGAACCCCACCACTGCACCCCTGCTTCAGGTAGATAAGCCCTCCCAGAGGAGACTGTCCCAAAGAAGACTGATGGCCTACTGAGCCTACTTCACAAGGTCAACGTGACCCTCAAGGAACAGCTGTGGCTGGGACCTCCATGGATGAAATAATTGCATGGAGAGGAAGGGCCAGGATTGAAATGTTTTCTCTTCCAGGAAAAAAACCCATTTGGGACACTCACCGGCGGCCAGAGTGAGCCAGAAGGATGCCCCGTAGGCCAGCTGCAGGGATGCCAACCCAAACTGGATGGCACACCAGGCGTTCCTCCCCGTGGAGAAGGACAGGAGCGCGAAGATGAGGAAGGCTCCCGTGACGAGAAGCATGAAGCCGCCATAAACCGGGACCGGCATGGAGAAGAGCATGTTGGAGATGAGCCACGCACAGAAGGCCACCCTGCCGTTGCAAAGAAGAAAGACACAAGGAGGGTTAGGGGGGCAGAAGAGGTCTGGGATTCAGGTGGGGCTTCTGCTGGAAACAGGGTTAGCGTTGGGTAGAATTCTCTGCCCCACCCAGTTCTCTGCCAACTACTGTATTTTTTGGAGTATAAGACGCACCTTCCCCCCCCCAAAAAAGGGGTTGAAAATTTAGGTGCGTCTTATACATCGAATATAGCCAGGCCCACCCACTGGCCCCCACCCTTTGGCCTCTGCCTCCCAGCAGTTTACCTCCTTGCAGCAAGCAGCAAGAAGAAACAGCTCGTTTCAGCTTCAGCATAGCCTAATTAGCACAAGTTGATTGGATCGGCCTCCCGACTCTCAGCTGTTTTGCTCTCAGTTGTTTTGCCTCTGGTGCTCCAGAGGCCCTCTGGAGGCCAGAAACAGGCTCATTTCTGACCTTCCTGAACTTCGTAGACCTGTTTTTCACCCACCCTGAGCTTCCATGCGTGTCCTGCATTTACCTGCATCCAAAACAGGCTGCGTGGGGACTCCTGGGAGGGGTGGAGTGGAGTGGATGGGGAATGAATCCCAGGAATGGGATTTGGGGGTTCTCTGAATTGCACAGAATCTTAGCTAGAGGTTCTCCTGAACCTCTGAGAACCCTCAACAGCCCCCTCCTGGAAGAATTGCATGGGGTGGAAAGAGGAGAAACTCCTAACTCTAGGGACCGTTCAACAGAGAAACCCTTGATGGCTTCCAAAGCTTCTTTAAGCTGAGGTTGGATGGTCAGAAATGTCCAGGGCCCAAACTTCTCCATCTTTCTAGCTTCTGCCTGGATGAATCCACCTTTGAGAAACACAAGGCCCCCTTACCAGAGAGTTGCCGATGCGTAGTGACCCGCTATGCGGTAGTCCTTGTTCAAGCCGCAGGGGCTGTGGTCGGTGAACTTCTCGGCCACGTACAGGATGGGCCTGGGCAACCCCCGCTGCAGCCCCTCTTCAAACTGTTTGTTGTAGTCGGTCCCGAACCTCCAAGAGAACTCTTCGTTATAATTGATGGTTTCGTTGAGCTGCTCCACGGGTTTCCCTGCAAAAAGGCAAGGTGGTGAGCCGCTAAAGATAAGAGGAAGAGGATTGAGAACTGGAAAGGGGTAGAAAGATCCCAGAGGCCCACGTATGAGTTTTCTTCCCACTGGAGCTTCAAGGTGGCTTATCTCCATCACGGAGCTATAGTGATCAGGCTCAAATAATTGCAGAAGCTGCTGTCTCTCTAATCCCCCTCAAGGACTGCATCCTCCAGCATTGGAGAGCTGACAGATCCTGATCTCCCTGGGACCAGGAAAAGGATGGGACACTGACAGCTTCCGCTACGTCTCCTTCGACTCAATTTCAAAAGCTCTTGGTCAAAATCTCCCAAGTCCCTGCTAAGGAATTGAATCAGGTCTTTGGAAAGAAGAGAAAGAGGGAAGGAAGGAAGGAAGGAAGGAAGGAAGGAAGGAAGGAAGGAAGGAAGGAAGGAAGGAAGGAAGGAAGGAAGGAAAGACAAGGGAGAGAGGAGAAAGGGAAGGAGGGAAAGAAAGAAAGAAAGAAAGAAAGAAAGAAAGAAAGAAAGAAAGAAAGAAAGAAAGAAAGAAAGAAAGAGGAAGGAAGGAACAGAGGAGGGAGGGAGGAAAGAAGGAAAGAAGGAAAGAAAGACAGACAAGGGAGAGAGGAGAGAAGAAAGAAAGAAAGAAAGAAAGAAAGAAAGAAAGAAAGAAAGAAAGAAGAAAGAAAGAAGAGAGGAGAAAGGGAGGGAGGAAAGAAGGAAAGAAGGAAAGAAGGAAAGAAAGAAAGACAAGGGAGAGAGGAGAGAAGGAAGGAGGGAATGAAAGAAAAAAAGAAAGAAAGAAAGAAGAAGAAAGGAAGGAAAGAAGAGAGGAGGGAGGAAAGAAGGAAAGAAGGAAAGAAAGAAAGACAAGGGAGAGAAAAAAGAGAAGGAAGGAGGGAAAGAAAGAAAGGAGAGAGGAGGGAGGGAAGAAAGGAAGAGAGGAAATAAAAAAGGAAGGAAAGAAAGAAGGAAAGAAGGGAGGGGGAGGGGGGAGGGAGGGAGGGAGAAGGGGCCTAACCCAGGCTCTTGAGCTCCTTCTCTTGGCAGCCCTGCAAACTCACCAACCAGAGTGATGTTGACTCCCGACAAGCCAACATGCAGTCCAATGTCAGCATGGACCATGGCGGAGCTGAAGGACTTGTAGGTGGTGTTGGCTGCCACTTTCCCGGTTTGCCAGTCAGAGGAGAAGTGAACAGCTGCAAAAGACAGAAACTTCCCTGTGAATCTCCGGAAGGGACTAGCTGAGAAGGACGGGATTTCTAGGCCCATCCTTAGTCCATCTTCTCACCTCCCGAGAATCCTACTGTAGAAAGCAAATGCTTGGGACTGAGCACCAGGAAAAAGGGCTCCATGTCCTAATCCAGAAGACTAATCCAGATCAGAATGCAGAATAACAGAGTTGGAAGGGACCTTGGAGGTCTTCTAGTCCAACCCCCTGCTTAGGCAGGAAACCCTACATTACTTCAGACAAATGGTTATCCAACATCTTCTTAAAAATTTCCAGTGTTGGGGCATTCGCAACTTCTGGAGGCAAATTGTTCCACTGATTAATTGTTCTCACTGTCAGGAAATTTCTCCTTAGTTCTAAGTTGCTTCTCTCCTTGATTAGTTTCCACCCATTGCTTCTTGTCCTGCCTTCAGGTGCTCCGGAGAATAGCTTGACTCCCAAATCTTCTTTGTGGCAGCCCCTGAGATCTTGGAACACTGCTATCATGTCTCCCCTAGTCCTTCTTTTCATCAAACTAGACATACCCAGTTCCTGCATCCGTTCTTCATAAGTTTTAGCCTCCAGTCCCCTAATCCTCTTGGTTGCTCTTCTCTGCACTCTTTCTAGAGTCTCCACATCTATTTTGTAGCATGGTTACCAGTGGTGAAATCCAATTTTTTTTTTACTACCGGTTTTGTGGGCGTGGCTTGGTGGGTGTGGTGTGGCTTGGTGGGTGTGACTTGGTGGGTGCGGCAGGGGAAGGATATTGCAAAGTCCCCATTCCCTCCCCACTCCTGGGGGAAGGATATTGCAAAATCTCCATTCCCACCCCACTCCAAGGGAGGATACTGCAAAATCCCCATTCCCTTCCCACTCCTGGGGGAAGGATATTGCAAAATCTCCATTCCCACTCCACTCCTGGGGGAAGGATATTACAAAATCCCCATTCCCACCCCACTCCGGGGCCAGCCAGAGGTGGCATTTACCGGTTCTCCGAACTACTCAAAATTTCCGCTGCCGGTTCTCCAGAACCTGTCAGAACCTGCTGGATTTCACCACTGAGGATGACCAAATTAAGATAAATATAAAAAAGAAGAAGGAAACTTACCAACAATCACTCCTCCAATAAAGAGGCTTGAGATGACCCGAACAAGCCAATACAGCCTCTGTTGACAAAGAGATCAGGGATCAGACAAAGGACTTTGTAAACCACAAAACCCACCGTCCATTCTCCACTCGCTCATGGGAGGCCAGTCAGTCTCTCCCAGCCCAGCCTACCTCACAGGACTGTCGTTTTGGGAGGTGGGGTGGAGTGAGAGGAGAGCATACCCATTTCTGATCTCTCCAAAGGATAAGTGGGATAAAAATGCAATAAATCCAGTTTTTGAAATGCCCAGCACAGCAAAGGCAATTTCAATCCAATGGTGAAATTCAAATTTTTTTTACTACCCGTTCTGTGGGCGTGGCTTGGTGGGCGTGGTGCGGCTTGGTGGGCGTGGCAGTGGAAGGATACTGCAAAATCTCCATTCCCACCCCACTCCTGGGGGAAGGATACTGCAAAATCCACATTACCTCCCCACTCCGGGGGAAGGATATTGAAAAATCTCCATTCCCATCCCACTCTGGGGCCAGTCAGAGGTGGCATTTGCCGGTTCTCCGAACTACTCAAAATTTCTGCTACCGGTTCTCCAGAACCTGTCAGAACCTGCTGGATTTCACCCCAGTCTCAATCTATGATCTCCCAGGATCCCATTTAGGAATTTACTCAAACAGATCCTGGTTTCTCTATCAACATGTAACAATAGTTTCCTCCTCCCCCCCTCCAATTCTCTAAAAGTGAAAAAAAAATCTTACTTTGGATTCTTTAAGCTAAAACATCATTTTTGTTTGCAAAAGGTCTCCCTTTCCCCATCTAGAGCCCAATCCCTATTTCACTCTCTTTTCCTAAGAGTTTCTTGGGTATTTTTCTCACCCCAATCCCGCCAATTATATAACTCTTGTGGTTTTAATCTGCTGCATTAAAGACCACTTCGGGGAGGGGGGGGGCAGGAAAAAACTTGGAACAATTCTACATTTTTAGGTTAAAGCAAGCAATGAACTGGCTTTTTAAGCGGAAAGCCACCCCACAAGAAGAAAGACATACGATTTCTCTTAAAATAAAATAAAAATTCTTGCTGGGAAAAACACTTCCATTCCCCCTCCATCCACCCCCCCCTTTTAAAAAAAAATTATGGCACAGATTGTTCTAAGGAAAGCAAATTACTGGTGGCCAGTGAAGTTTCACAGAGTTAGCACTTGTTTCATTTAATTTATTTATCAAATTTAGAAATCACCCATCCTCCTCAAAGTTCCTCTCTGCCGTTCAGTTCACCCCACTCCAGGGGAAGGATACTGCAGAATCTCCATTCCCATCTCACTCCAGGGGAAATATATTGCAAAATCCCCATTCCCTCCCCACTCCTGGGGGAAGGATACTGCAAAATCCCCATTCCCTCCCCACTCCTGGGGGAAGGATACTGCAAAATCCACATTCCCACCCCACTCTTGGGGGAAGGATACTGCAAAATCCCCATTCCCATCCCACTCCAGGGGGAAGGATACTGCAAAACCCCCATTCCCATCCCACTCTAGGGGGAAGGATACTGCAAAATCCCTATTCCCTCCCCACTCCTGGGGGAAGGATACTGCAGAATCTCCATTCCCACCCCACTCCTGGGGGAAGGATATTGCAAAATCCCCATTCCCACCCCACTCTTGGGGGAAGGATCCTGCAAAATTCCCATTCCCATCCCACTCCAGAGGGAAAGATACTGCAAAATCTCCATTCCCACCCCACTCTGGGGCCAGCCGGAGGTGGCATTTGCCGGTTCTCCGAACTGCTCAAAATTTCCGCTACCGATTCACCAGAACCTGCTGGATTTCAGCCCTGCACTGAACCCCAATCCAACAACCAATTGGCCAAATTTGCACGACTTATTATATACTAAACTGCCCGCCAGCTGAATCCAGGCAAACGTTCGAGACCTGAGCCATGCCAGTCTTCGCTCCGGCGGGCTAAAAACGTGCTGGGTGGGGGGGAAGTTGTCCCGGGACTCTTCCTTCGCCCCACGCCGGGTTTGAAACCAGCCCGGGGATCGGTACTCACCGCTCTGCCTCGGATTCCAGGCAGGATAAGCAAGAAGCTGAAGGCGATGACCAGGAAGACAATGATGACAATGATGAGGTCCACATCAAAGACGAAGGGCTTCTTGGACTGGGGGTAGAAGGGGTAGATGCCGTCAAAGAAGGTCATGTTTGCTGCGGATGCTGGAAAAGAGGCGAGAAAGTGGTCGTGTGAATGGGAGGAGGAAGAAGATCAGCAGAACCTGGGTCGGTGGTCCTGGCAAAGGACTAGGAGGACTTCTTTGAAGTTTTTTTTTGGGGGGGGGGATTAGCTGAAGGCTTTCCGAGGCTGGGGAAGTCTCCAAAACCCCCAGGTGGGGTCCAGGTTTCCAGTCTGCCCCAACTCTCCTCCGCCTGGTGTCCAGGCGTTCCGCAGGCGCTGCTACAGCCAAGGGGAACCCTTTCCAAGCCGCTTTTTTTTTTTTTTTTCGAAGCGAGGGGAGCCGAGGGAGAAGGGCAATCCGGAGCGAAAAGGGCTCCACACAGGACCGACTCTCTTCCTTGAAGCCCCCCCCCCCCCCCCCGCCTGCCGGCCGCCTCCGAGGGAATCGTCAGACGCGCTCCCCAGACCGTCGGATGGCACCGCCGCATCGCTACGGCTTTCCATCCGCAGCAGCCTCAGCCCAGCCGGGGCTTCTGAAAAGAAGAGATCCGGCCGGAGCTCGAGGCTGCGGAGATGACGGCTGGCAGAAGATAGAAGCACTCTTCCCATGCGCAGGGGCATGCGACTCTCTTTCGCTCTTTCCGCCTTTCTCTCTCTCTCTCTCTTTCCTTTTCTCTCTCTTTCCTGCTTTCTCTCTTTCCATCTTTCTATCGCTATCTCTTTCTCTCCATCTTTCTCTCTCTTTCCATCTCTTTCTCTTTCTTTCCATCTTTCTCTCTTTCCCTTTCTCTTTCTTTCCATCTTTTTCTCTTGCTCTTTCTCTCTTTCCATCTTTCCATCTCTTGCTCTTTCTTTCTATCTTTCTCTCTCTTTTCTTCTTCCTCTTTCCATCTTTCTATCTCTTTCTTTCTCTTTCCATCTCTTTCTCTTTCTTTCCATCTTTCTCTCTCTCTCTCTCTCTCTCTCTTTTTTTTTAATTTGATTTATATGCCTCCCTTCTCCGAAGACTCAGGGCGGCTTACAATGTGCTCAGCAATATTCCCTTCATCCTTTGTATATTTATACAAAGTCAGCTTATTGCCCCCACAAACTGGGTCCTCATTTCACCTACCTTAGAAAGGATGGAAGGCTGAGTCAACCTTGAGCCTTGGCGAGATTCGAACCCTGCAGTAATTGCAGGCAGCTGGTCTTAATAACCAGCTTAATAACAGGGTGCCTTAAACCTCTGTACTACCAAGGCTCTTTTCCTTCTTTCTCTTTTCCTTTCTCTCTCTTTCCATCTCTTTCTCTTTCTCTCTCTTTCCCTCTTTCCCTTTCTATCTTTCTCTCTCTTTCTTTCTCTCTCTTTCCCTCTTTCTCTCTCTGAGACCAGGTGGCCGGAGAGAAGGAAAGTCTCCGGCCAGACCCAAAGGCTTTGACTCCAGCCTGACTCCAGCCAGCGCCTCCAGGCTTGAGGGCAACAGCCACTGGGCAGCCTTACCTCGCAAGGCTTCAACCTGCGCCTTCTAAGGAGTTCGGAGCGCAATACCGGCGCCCAGAGCTGCGCTCGGTCCTTATACAGCCGGAGCGGGGGGTCGCGCGCAGGTGGCATGCAAATGAGGGAGGTCCTCGGCCACGCCCCCTTCAACCCCCCCCCCACCCCACAGCTGGCTCCTCGGACAGCGGCCCCGGAGCGGGTGGCAGTTCAGGGCGGCTGTGACAGCGGCAGCAGCAGCACCGCGAGCAGCAGCGGCGCCGGGATCGCACCTGACCAGGTGAGCAGGCGGCTTTCCCGGGGCCAGATCTCGAAAGGACAAGCCGCGGGAGGGCGGCGGGGGAGAAGTCCGGCTGGGGGTCCCGCGAGGCTTTCCTGCCCTGCTTTTCCACGCTGCCCACCGCCCCGCTTGCCAATCCACGCGCGCGACGGGGTTTTGCGCGGACCGACTCCTCTCCGTCTCTTCCCCGGGAGCACCTTCGGTTGGAGAGAAGCATCCCCCCACACGGTCCTGTCCGCCTGCTGGAGGCAGCCCCACCTTCCCAAACCCAATTCAGCCTCTTGGAATTTGGCAGCGGGCTATGATTTCCCAGCTTCTTTCCCAGCGTGGGAAAAAAAAACCCACAACTCTTCCCGTCTCGGGGTTGAATTCCGGGCTGAACTGCGGACGGTGGGGAGCCAAGAGCCCGATTCGGGATCTTCTCTGTCCCCATTTCATCCTCCGGTTCCCCCAAGGACTCCTGAGGTGTCAGGATTCCCCAGCAGAGGTGTGAACGCACCCACCCGTGTCCCTGGCGCTTGCCCTGCCCTAAAGGCAGAAAAAGTCCCCACATTCCCATTTCTGATACCCGCCAGAGTTTGGACCCCGCTAATCTTGTGGGATCTCGCTAATCTTGTGCAGATCGGAATTTTGGAGGGTGCCAGGCGGAGGATGTGGGGCGTAAAGCGGGAATGGGTGCCCGGCGCTTGTTTAAACCCACCCAAAAGTGGATGGTTTAACAGTAACAGAGTTGGAAGGGTCCTTGGAGGTCATCTAGTCCAACCCCCTGCTCACGCAGGAGAACTATACTAGGGATTCGAACCGCCGACCTTTCTGATCGACAAGTTGAGTGTCTTAGCCACTGAGCCACCTAGTCAGGCTCCTTGGATTGGAGCAATTTAATTAACCGGTTTGCCTTCTGGCAGGGAGTTTATGACTCCAAATTGTTTTGCAGTTTCCTGCAAAAACTAGATTTAGTCTGGGCACTGGACCATTTTAGGTTGGGAAAGATTTTACTCCCGAATCAAGAAAACGTATTCAGCTTTTCCAGCCCAGATACTTACTTGTATGTTTCCTAGCTGGGGATGATGGCTAATGTAGTCTTGAGACATTTGGACACTTTCTCCAGCAGCTGAAGAAGGTTGTTGTTGGGTAGATCGGCCTAAATTCTGAATCCGTTTAACTTACTCCTGCGGTGTCATTGACGGCTGACCCAGGACTGGCTTAACCTGTGCCAAGTAACTGCGGGTTCCATTTTTATTGTTAATTCCTTTGCTGGAGGTTAGGGGAAGAAGAGTGGCTTGCCCCCTAGGAGGTGGAACTACTCACCAAAAATCAGAATTACTCACCCCTGCCTTTGCTTTCGGACTGTGGCCACAACAACCTGCACCAGCAGGTAACAGCGATGAAAAATGATAATAAAAATGGCAAGAAAGGGGAGGGGGAGGCTGGAGATCCCAAGACCCCCAAGGCCATTTTTAAAAGAATTGGGAGCAAAAATCCCTGTTGGTGGAACATTGCCAAATTGTCCAAGTGGAGAAGTGGCTTCTTACTGGAAGTAGATTATTTTGCATAAGATCCCTTTGGGTTGATGTAGATTTGTGTAGAAATATATGCCCTCCCGCTCCAAGATGTCTCTGGCAAGACCCCCGTTTGGACTCCGTGGATTTTGCAATATCCTTCTCTCTAGAGTGGGGTGGGAATGGAGATTTTGCAATATCCTTCCCCTGCCATGCCCACCAAGCCACACCCACCAAGCCGTGCCATAACCACCGAGCCACACCCACAGAATCGGTAGTAAAAAAATTTGAAACTCACCACTGGGTGAGAGCATTGGTGTCTCACCCAGTGAAATTGATGGGTTGCTACCAGTTCGCCCTGGTTCGGGCGAATCGGTAGCGGCAGTGACAGGAGGCTCTGCCCATCCACCCGGATGTCATCAAATACGATCTGCGCATGTGCAGAAGTGGCACGTGCATGAGCGAAGCGAGCACACGTGTCTGAGCGAACCGGTAGCAAAAGTAAGTGAAACCCATCCCTGGGCGAGGCCTGTGCTTAGGACCACAAGTGAGCGTGTTTTCAAAGCGACAGTGACGAACAGGTGCGCCATACCTGTCTCGCTGGCGCAGAAGCTGGGAGGATCTTGCTGTCCCTGTTGGAGAGTTCACCTGGTTAAAACAAAAAAAATAAAAAATCCAGATTGCGTTAGGTACAAAATGACGTGAGCCCCGAGGCTAAACCTCTGACCCTAGGAAGTCAAATTGACAATCGGAGATCTGATAACACCCATCCAAGAATGTTCCCAATGCTGGGAAATTTTGAATTTTTGCCTTTGTAATGACCGACGTACGTTTATCTCGGGGTGATTCATACCTTGCTTGTTCTTTTACAATTATTACTTTTAGAATGTGTTTATCCAACACAAACAGACGGCCGGTGTTTTCTTCCCTATACACCCTTCTGGATCGCTTTGTGTATGTTCACGGGGTGTGAGCATGTGTGTGCCCAGCTAGGAGAAACGAATGCAATGTGCAAAAGAGACTTTCTGAGCAAAGCAGACCAGGAAATCCAAAGTGCATGGCCAGGTGTCTCACTGAGGACTTAGGCAGTAACCTTAGAGCAGGGTTTCTCAACCTTGGAAGCTTGAAGATGGGTGGACTTCAACTCCCAGAATCCCCCAGCCAGCAGCGCTGGCTGGGGGATTCTGGGAGTTGAAGCCCACCCATCTTCAAGCTACCAAGGTTGAGAAACCCTGCCTTAGAGGAAAAGGAAGTAATTTTAACCTGCTCTTCGATCTTGCGGATTTAGACTCTGCAAACCTGGCATGTCGGTGCTTGTACAGCCAAACCAATGTCATTAACACCAGGGAAAGATTAGCCGTTGTGGGTGCACGGAAATTTAAACCACCTAAGTAGAACTGCTGAGAACCTGTTTGGGCTAGTCGTTAAAGGCATCAGATTAAAAACCGGGAGGTCATGAGTTCTAGTCCTGCCTGGACTAGACAGTTGGATGGCTTTAGGTTAGCTAGTTCCTCCTTCTCGGCCCAAAAGCTGATATGGTGAGGTGGGAAAAACGCTGGATTAAAAGTTTAGCAATTAGAAGATTAGAAGGGATGCGGTGGCTCAGTGGCTAAGACACTGAGCTTGTGGAGCTAAAGGTCGGCAGTTCAGAGGTTCGAATCCCTAGTGCCGCGTAACGGGGTGAGCTCCTGTTACTTGTCCCAGCTTCTGCCAACCTAGCAGTTCGAAAGCATGTAAAAAAATGCAAGTAGAGAAATAGGGACCACCTTTGGTGGGAAGGTAACAGTGTTCCGTGCGCCTTTGGCGTTGAGTCATGCCGGCAACATGACCACGGAGACATCTTCGGACAGCGCTGGCTCTTCGGCTTTGAAACGGAGATGAGCACCGCCCCCTAGAGTCGGGAACGACTAGCACATATGTACGAGGGGAACCTTTACCTTTACCTTTTCAATTAGTCCTGATTTAGCATGAAGCCAGATGAATAACTAGCTCAATCCAGTAGGAAGGGGGTGGAAAAAGGATTGCGGGAGACGTGATAGCAGTGTTCCAATATTTGAGGGGCTGCCACAAAGAAGAGGGGAGGGGGGAGTCAACTTATTTTCCAAAGCGCCAGAAAGCAAGACAAGGAGCAATGGATGGAAACTAACCAAGGAGAGGAGCAACCTAGAAATAAGGAGAAACTTCCTAAGCGTTAGTACAGTCAGTGGAATGGCGTGCCTCCAGAAACTGTTGGTGCTCCATCAGTGGAAGTTTTCAAGAAGAGACTGGACAGTCGCTTGTCTGAAATGGTATGTAGGGTCTCCTGCTTTGAGCAAGGACCCTTCCAATTCTGTCCTCCTACGTTCGAAGAAAGCAAAGCCAAACCACCTCCAGCAACGTTGCCAAAAAGAAAGACCATGGGTGCCCCCTCGCCGGAGGTTTTTAAGAAGAGATTGGACAACGATCTGTCCGAATATGCTGTAGGGTTTCCTGCTTGAGCAAGAGAGGTGGACTAGAAGACCTCCAAGGCCCCTTCCAATTCTGGTTATTCTGTTATTTAAGATGGAATGGAGTAATTTGGAAGAGGGAAAAGGAAAAGGCTGGAACTCCGGAAGGACCGTTTAGGCTGCAATATTTCCCTGCAACATTTGAGGCCGGTCTTGCATTAAGTTTGAACACGATGAGCTTCTTTTGTTAAACCATTAATACACAGAAAAGAGAAATGAGCACAAATAAGATCCAAAAGTCTATTTCCACATTCAGTTGCTAATTGTTTGCTTGAGGTTGGGTGGGGAGAGGGTGGCGGGAGAGTAAGCAGAGGCAAGCAAAAATATGTACCCAGGGCATATGCTTATGGTCCGTGTGTTTGGCAAAATCATTTTTCTTAGTCCGATGACAATATTGGGTGGATAAAGCAAAGCAACCACGACTTTTGCCATAGGAGCTGAATGAAAAGATAGTTGAGTTGGGAAGAAGCACATAGATTTAGATCCTTTTTTAAAAATAATAATAATGAAAAATGCTTTTTTTTCATAATTCTGAAAACTGAAAAGTTTGTCGCCACTTCCATCTGCCCGAGGCATCCCCACAAAACAGAATCTTGGGATTTTATTTTTATTTATTTATTTATTTTATTTATTTGTCAAGCATGTATGAGAAAACAAGTATAAGTATGAACATAACCTATAAACATTTAAGTATAAACAGGTATCAGTAGATACATAAGAAATGAGTACGAATAAATGGGACCGTTTTGATCCTTTGACAGTTTGGAGGGGAGAAAAGGAACGTCAGATGTGCCCCTTTGTACCTGCCATTCAATTTCAACCTTATGACATTAATCTTTAACTCCCAATCTCCTGGTTACACCCCCCCCCCCCAATTCCCCTCCACTTCTGCAATGAATCCCCCAAGAGAAACGGCCAGTTCACCGTCTGTGATGCAAGGCGAATTTAAAGTCCAGAGTTGAGAAAGAAAAATAAATTCTCTAGATCTTGTAAATGATAGGATGAATCAGTGCTTTTGAAGCAAACTTTAGGAAATTCTCAGAATCCAGTTACCGGCGACAGAGAAAAACCG